GGGGTCCAAAAATTGTTTTCTGGCAAGTTTATAGAGCATATACGTTAATCAATCTATCAATCAAAGAGGCGTATCTTGAAATATGTTGAGAGTAAACGTTTATATCTTTTCAGTATCTTGATAATCTTATCGGTCAAATCAATTCTTTGAAATCTTCCAATTCATTAATAAAGCTAAAAACGGTGATTATGAACTTTAATAAATTATTAATCAAAAATCTAATTTCAGATCAAATATGAGTCAGTTGTGAATAGAAGAGTAAATTTTATAGGAAAAATGGCGACCAAATCCTTCTCTCGACAATCCAGTGTGTCTGATCAGCTAATCACCTTCAAGGTTTGTGTGTAGTTAGACATTCATCATTATTAGACTGACATAGCCTTGGCCCCATAGCCTGTCCTAGCAGTAGCGCTTGGCCCAGAAGCTGTCTTAACCTAGCCCTGTCGAAGCAGTTCAAAATAAATATTAATAAATATTTGGCCATGTTCTAGATATATAGGAGGGGGGGGATGNAATGAAGCATGTATTAAACATTTTCGGTTCAGGATGTATTGAATCCTCGTTCTGATTTTGACCAGCTAGAACGATTAATCTTATCAAACCTGGACGAGAAGGAAAAAATCTGTCTCAAAGACTTCAAAAAATATATTGGTAATATTTCACTTTAGGTAAGTTTTGTGAAAAACAAATAAGAAATGAGGTATTTTCATTTTTCCCGTGGGATCTAAATAATTTTAAATATAATTTCAAAATGTGATTTTGTATTGCATTAGCCAATTATAGATTTAAATAGGAACATTTTTCCCATCGTTTTTTTTTAATAAAGCTCCCGTAATTATAGAAGTTACTGTTTTAGTGAAAGGAGAAGGTGTTTGGGTGCTAGACCAACAAATTCTTGACTTTGTGGCCGGACTTTTAGAGCATAGGTAATTTTTATTCTTTTGGAAGAAAATTTTTGTCCTCCATCAAGAAAGATCTTTGTTTCGTAACAAATTGTACTAATTCCAGATTCAGTGAGGAATGTAATTAATAAACTCGTTCTGGTTTGGCTGAGTTTTATTTAAAATGCAGTACACCTTGTTATTAAACAAAAGTGTTTGAGTGGATTTAGGTGTATCTTTCTGCTGATTATTTTTTTGAATATCAAATAATTTTTTTTTTCTTCAGATCTTTAAACCTGGATATTCGAGTTAAGTTGTTAAGGTAACTGTTATAATTAAAATAACTAAAAAGTTCAGAAATTGGCTAAGTTTTTTTAAAGAATATTTTAAATTGTGAAGGTTGCTGGCGGCAGCAGCCCTTCGTGATGATTTCTGGAGTTTTCTACAGGACTGTTTACCTTTTTATATCTTTATTTGCAGTATGATTCTTAATCTTAAATTTTTTTCTTCTAAATATTAGATTCCAAAAATGTTAAGTTTATAAAAATGCATTTCTGTCTGGGGAGATTTTTTTTGTTCGAAACGATATTTTAAAACAATAAAAATTAACAAAAAATTGATCTTGTGAAGCTTGAAGGGGTAATTTTGAAAAAAATCAAGAAAGTTGTTTCAGTTTAACTTTTAATAGTTGCTCAATCTATCAGCATTTTCTCTTCGATAAAACAAAAATATAAAATTTCACGGATTTACAACTATTTTCGCGGATTTTCTAAATATTACAGAAAATTAAAAAGTTTTTGAGACAATTTTTTGTAATTCTGAGGATCCATAAACCTTCCCCAGGGTCAGAGGAGGTCCCACACAAAACAAGCGAACAGACAGACGGACACCATAGAGTAAACATATTACCCTGTAGATGGATAGAAAGAATCGAACCCTGATGCGCTTCCCAAACTTGTTCGAGAACTTAACCGTTGAGGAGCAGAAGGTGATATTCTGAGGGATTATTATTGAAAATCATTTATTCCCAGCCGCTATTTTCGCTGATATAATTTACTTCTTTTAATTAATTAAAAAATTTTTTAGAAGCTTGATACTCTTCAAAGCTTTATTTTTTTTTGTCAAACTCTTCATGTGCCCAGTTATTAATTTAATATTTTAGGGCGTGGCATTATTTCTAGTTAACACATTCTCAACCCCCCAGGGAGCTGACTGGTTAATGTATGGGAGCACGTGGAAACTGGACGAGGTATGTTTAATCTATCAATCGATCTTTAGATCAAAGAAAATTCGTTTAATTATTTAAAGGTCTTAGTTTGAATAACACTTTAAGATCAATGATGTTGTTCGTTCCAAAATCCTCCAATCTAAAAAATTGTAGGATTCAAAATAAATCTAGGGACATGGACATGTTCAGCTATTGTTATAAGAAAAGCATAACCTGAAAAAGAAAGCTTTATTAGCTTCAGCGTGACAAATTGTGGCATGTTTTAACATAATGAGGGTAATTTACTTTTTTCTAAATTGTCATCAATTATTAGGTCAACGATACTTATTTATATCTGATCCCTGTCCAACTGGTACAAGACAACCAAATCATCGGAAAAAAAGTTTTGCCTGAAAGACACAGCTAATGAAACCGCTTATTTAATGGTACATCAAGTTTCTACATATTCAGCGACAGAAGTGGAAGGAAGTTTGATAATTAGTTTTTTTGGGGGAAAAGAAATCATGAAAAATTTAAGAAATATCATGATCCGAACCATTTTTTATATTTTGGAAATCCGGATCTGCATAAAAATAAGATGGTAATTGGTAATAGGATACCAAGCACTGGTTGATTCTACATTTAAAAGAATACATCTGTTGCTAAATAATTTAAGAATATGAACCCCTTTTTAGGAAACTGAGACGAGTAATGTTAAAATAACTGCCAAAGTAGCGGGATACAGCCTAGTTAGCTATACTCCTAGTCTACAGGAATACGGGAGTGCTCTTATATATAACATAGGTAGTTCTTATACTTATATTTCAATTTTTTTCATACATTGATACGCGGATTTTCTTGTATCAATTGGATAATTTAACTAATTATAAAAATTTATATTTTTTCTGATTGATTGATTGCATTTTATCCAGCCCTGAAAGAAACCAAAGCTCTGAGTGTTCCTAAGAATAAGTATACTGAAGAAGATTTGCCTACAGTAGATCTGGATTATGGAACTGTGTCAAATCAAGATATTATGGAAACCCGGTAAAATACAACAAAAATACATGAACAAAAATACATGAACAAAAATAATTTAAAAAGAAGATATTTGAAGTTGATGTTTTTAAATTAATGCTAAGCCATATCTCATGATTATGATTGCTGTACAGTGTACATCTGTACACTTATGTAATGGCTTTATAAGTTTATTTCGGCTTTGGGAATTTTTGTTGAAATAAAACGTTTTTGAGGTGAAGTATTAAAGGTTCGTGAATTTTTTTCTTTCTCTTATTTTTGTCAATTGTAGAGAAAGTACCCAGTTTGTAACCTTGAAAGTGTACAATGATGTCGCTGTGGAACTAAGCATGGCGACTCTGAAATACATCAAGAAAACAAAAAATCCACCAGAGGTAACATCTTTTTTCCTTTTCTGATGGTCTTATCTCTGTCGATACTGTAAAATAATGACGCTCGTCTTATAAATTCCTTAATTGACAAAGTAACTAGTCTAGACACATTTTATGAAAAAAAATGGCCAAAAAATTGTGCTGATGATAGTCGTTTTTTGTTCTTTTGTCGATTAAAAATCTTATCTTCATTATCTAGTCATCAATCTACTTAAAATCCCTAGCCTGTCCTAGCAGCAGCGCTCGGCCCAGAACCAGTACAAGGCTAATGTACGCCTGGAAAAAGGCTTCAAGAAGGAAGTTTTTAATTCACCTTTGGCTGGGATTTTTAGTCATGAGCACAAAGGGCCACTGGGGTTTTGTTCTTCCGACCTACGCGGGCATAAATCATTGCACAATGTCATGCTAACAGTTGCCTGAAAGGTGGTTGCCGGCTTCTTCTACGGACTGGCGGTGATTTATAGTAGATAGATAGATAGACAAAGAATATTCTTATTTTAGGAAGTTCTGTACCGTTGTATGAAAAGTTTGGTTAAGTTCTCTTATATTATTCCGAATGATATTCTGCATTGTGTAGCAATGGTACAGGTACCAAATAGCAGACGATTATTTTAACAATCGATTTTTGTTCTATAGAGATTAATAAAAATACTCTTCACTCAACGAGTCAACAGCTTTATGATGGAGAAAATAGAACAATATTATTTAATCCTCCACTTTTTTAAAAAGTATCCATCTTGAAAATGTTTTTGTTTCAGAGATTGATAATATTAATAAGATAATAATAATAAAATTAAAATATTTATAATTAAATCCAAGATTATCTATTAATTATAAAAATGATATTTAATGTTAGGTTGATCTGGACACTTTGATCCCAGGAAACTCAGCCAGGATTGATGCTGAGATGAAAATGTTGAAAGCTAAACTAATAAAATCTACAGAATAGAAAATCCCTAAATAAATTTACACCCCCCGCCGTATAACATTATTATCATTTAAGATAGCCATCGGGATGTATTACAGGAGGGGATTTACACCTATTTATATTGTACTTAATAATTATACTGCCAGTTAAACTAAGCATATCAAGTATCATATAACCCCTATCATTTTATTTAGCTCAGTTCTAAAGAAAGATTACGGACCCCCCTTTGAGAGAAATGTTTTTCTTTTTCAGGATTTGCAAAGCCTAATTGTGAACCCCCGGATGAAATTGGGGAACTCATTCGCCAGATACCGGACGAAGTTTTAAACTCCAACGTTAAAACCGAACCAAACTTACCTGATTTTCATATTAAATCCGAACCACATTCTACAGATTTAGATATAAAACCAGAATCGCAATCCACGGATTTTCAGATAAAATCGGAACCACAATCCACGGATTTTCAGATAAGTTTGGAATCACTATCCACGGATTTTCATATAAAATCGGAACCTCTTGATACCGATCTAAAGATTAAAGCTGATCCTGATGTTGTGGAGTCTAGTCAGATGAGAGGGGAGGAAGAAAATTTTAATAAAAATGAAGTAAAACAGTCTACAAAAAGACCGCTTTTCTCAGGTACTTATAAAATAGATTTTATTTAATAAAGCGTGGTTTTTAAATTATTGCGTTTTTGGGTAACTTTATTTTTTAGATTTTTTGGAAAATAATTTTTTTGTTGACAATCCATTTGGAAAGGTTTAACCTATGAACCACACAGGAATGAATAGTGCAACTGACCGGCCATCCCAGCAGCGGGATCCAAACGACCCCTGGTTTCAAGCTTATGAGGTAGGAATAATCCACTTTACAATCACTTTTACATCTCTTTGTTGAGTTTCCTTGATCTCTTCTAAATCTTTTGCAAATATTATTAAAATATTAATGTTAATCCCGTTCTTTACCTTGAGATACCTATTGATAACTTTTTTGTATTTACAAGAATTCTTTTTTACAATTCATTTCCCTATTTCTTTTTTACAAATCTTCTTTCATTTACTTCAATCAATTCGTATTGAAAATCCTTTTTAACAGTTCACTTTAAAATTTCTCTTTTTTTATCAAACCCTTTTCACAATTCTTTTTACAATCTATTTACCAATCCTTATACACAATCCCCTTTACCAGTAACATCGAACAAACCATATTAAAAATACCTTTTAATAATCCTCTTTTACAATCCTTCTTCAAAATTTTTTTTTCTCAATTACTTTTCACAATTCCTTTCTATAATTCCTTTTCACAATTCCTTTCTAGAATTCCTTTTCACAATTCCTTTTTTAATTCATTTCATAATTTCTTTTCAAAAATCCGTTTTCACGGTTCAGTTTTACAATCCCTTTAATAATCCCTTTAACAATCCTTTACACCAATGTAACTAGGCACGGAAGAAGGCTGCTCTGAAGAACTTGGAAACAAAGAATTTACAATCTGTAGCTGGGGCCTCAGCTTTTTGTGGGAAAATAGATGGAGTTTCAACTCTTTCCGCACAAAACCAGGTTAACCTAAAAATATATCAAGAACATATAAATTAGAAATTAGAACAAAAGAAATTAATGTTTTAGAAATATTAAAAACTGACTGATATGGCAAGTGTTTTAAAGGGACCGTAAGCATAATTTCAAGTGACCCTCAATGCAAAGGTGGCAATGGCCGAATCACGACGATTCCCTCATGATTTATCTGTTCAGTATTGTGAAAGATGTTGCCATTTTCAGGTTTTTAAAAGCGTTTTTATCTAGGCAATTTCTATAGGTTTTCCTTCAGTAGAAATTGCGCAAGTAACTGTTCAGAGAAACCACAATTGAAAATAATGTATTTTCAAAATTATGATAACTGATTTATACTTAATCAGACAAAGCTGTTTTGGATTCCATTGTACTTCGGGCGTTAACATCTTTGGATGGAGGATCACTTAAAATTACTCTCACAGTCCCTTTAATCGTTAGACGGTTTTCAAATTGAATGTTACTTTAAGTTAGATTGACAAATGACTTTCCGGATCAAAATAAGATTATTTTGATGATTTCGCATTAAGCTAGATTTTGGAAATTTTCATCAATATCTGAAAAAAGAGAACAAGCATTATGTTTTTGAAGACTAGGGGAAGAGGGTACGTAAACCATCTCTCCTAGAGGGAAGGAAACTTTTGTTTTCCATAAGATACCCCTAGAAAATCTTTCAATCATTTCTAGGGGGGGGGGGTTAATTGATAATGATAATGACAATTGCTTGTAGGTGACTAAGCTCATGAGAAAGCTGAAGAAGGATGAGAAGGCTGTCAAGGTTGTGTTTGTGGAGATGACGGAGACAAAGATTTCCACGACAGAGTCTACAGAAACACAGGTGATGGGTTAACTATTTGACCTGATGATTGGCCAATGGTGATATGATTTGCACCTTGTTGCAAGACCTGAGGCCAAATTCAATGAATTTGAGCCGCATTTCAAATCTGCCAAAAACCGGTTTCAATTGAATGCCGGCTTAAATCTTGAACAATTTAATACAATTTTAAGCGGAACTAACCTTAAATGAGCCGCGTCTCAACTCTAAGTGCTGCTTAAATTTTTTAAATTCGGCCTCTGGGATTTTTTTTAGAAGTTATGACTTAAAATTTTATTGAAATATTATTTACCCCTAGTTTCTTCAACATTTTGGCAAAACAAAATTTTTTTTGATTATAGTAATTTATAAGGCAAGAAAAGTTCTTACCCCATATCCTGCATGATAATTTGCTTTGTATTAAGATGTACAATACATACCAAGAAAAGTTTATTTATATTTTACTTTTAAAAAAATTTTAACTGTTGTTGTTGTTGCAAGATTTATATTGCATTAACGATTATTTTGTGTATTGTAGGAGTCAACTGTGAAGGAAGAAACGAGTATCAAGGGCGGGTTGTTCGCCAGCTATGCCTCCAGACAGGTGTCAACAACCATCAGCCAAACCAAACCAACAATAAGCAGCTCCAGTCAACCTTTCAATTATCAAAGCTCAAGCACTACGGAAAAGAATGACTCGCAGAAATCAAATTTTGGCGCCCAAATTGTTAATGGCGGCCAATCAAGTTTTGGCGGGAGGAATAGTTATTTTGAATCTAATAATGGTCGGAATGGTAATGGAGCACAATTTAATGGAATTAATACCGGGACACAAAATAATTACATCGGACAGAACAATTATAACAAACAGAATAGTTATAATTATAATCAAAAACCTAGTTCCGGCAATCAAAATAAATTCAGCAAAAAAGATTACTCTAGCTATGGAGCTGGTTCAAATTTACAGACAAGTCAAACATCTACTAAAAGTTCCTCTGATGAAAGTGCATTCAAGAGCCGACCCCCACCACCCCCGAGTGCGTTCCTAATGAGTGATTTTATGAAGCATAATATAGGGGCAAACTCGGGTGGTTCTGAAGACACCATGAAACCAAACAATCCTTCAAACAATTCAAATTTCTCTAGCCCAGAAAGTCGACCTGGTAGGTTTCTGATGTTTTACACAATTTTAATTATTAAGTTCTTTAAATTGTTTTTGTTTACGTCTTAAGTATTGTACTTTATGAACTTTTGAATTTTAACTAAATACTTTTTTTGGCGATTTAATTTATTAAATTCTTTAAACTCTTTAAACTCTTTAAACTCTTTAAACTCTTTAAACTCTTTAAACTCTTTAAACTCTTTAAACTCTTTAAACTCTTTAAACTCTTTAAACTCTTTAAACTCTTTANTGTCTATAAGATGAAGAGCTGCTTCAAGTCCTTCACACAAACTTAAGGCTTCTGCTGCCAGTGTTGATCTAACTACTCTTCTTCTATGAACTCTCTGAACTCCGTTAAACTCCGTTGACCTATCTTCTTTCTAAGGTCGACCTTCTGTTCCAACCCCTGGACGTTACGGAACAAGATACGGTGGAGCTCCAAGCCCAGGACCTCATCCATCTCAGGTTCTAAAAGATTTGAATGAAACCGGATCCTAAGATTAGAGAGAGCAATAGTTGAACTAGGAATGGCTAATTTGACATTTTACGAAGGAGATTTAATAATTTTTTTTTTAAAGATTCTTCTAGACTTCAGCCTTGTAATTGTTTTAATGTTCACTATATTTATACAAGTTCAATTTTGTGACAGCTAATGTCGATCAGATAATATGTTGAACGCAATCAGCTTTCTCCCGGTGCCCGTAAACGTTGGTTGTCACAGCCGAAATATTTTATCTAGAGACTTAAACTTGATCCATTTATGCGTGTTCAAGAGGTTTGGGAAGCTGAAGATGTCAAAGTAGGGTAAACCTCTATTGTAGAAAGTGTCCTTCAATTTTGGTGTAGGACGTCCCTAAAAGCATGATTTGATTTGTAATCTATGTTTCAGCAAACCAGTAAGTATCTTTTCCCTAAGACCTCTTTGGAGCAATTTTTGTCTCTGGATCCAAGATAAAAAACATTGATCTATATTTAAGACAACATGATATTTTATCTTGAAATTAATGTTTGGGGATGAATTTATTTAACGCTTTTTTTTTGTCAAATTATGCTTTTTAAAGAAAAATTTAAGTTTGTAGCAGCATATTGGGTCCCCTCCGCTGGAGCGGAGGCCACCGGAGGGAAATTTTCTTCAGCGGAGGGAATGCACAATCATGATGTAATACTAATTACTCCACCGGAGGGAATCAGGATTCGGCCGTGGTGGTTCAACTAGGCATGGAAATTCGTCAGATGCTGACAACGGTTCTTCAAATTGGGGTCAATACTCAGAATTTGGCCGCGGAGGTCGCGGTGGGTCTTCAAATTGGGACTCATCCATTTCAAACAGAGGAGTTCCTGGCTCCAATAGAGGTTCATCAGGATCTTATTCTAGATTTTCTAAGAATTCCGAAGGATATAGTAACAGTAATACATTCCAACAAAATATATCAAATCGATCTACCATCAACCAATCAAGATTATATAGTGATCAAAAAGAAATAAAAAGATCATCACGGTTTGATGTTCCACCCTCACCCCCCTCCTCTTCATTTCCACTCCCTCCCCCCTCATCGTCTTATCCTACCCCTCTGCCCTCCTTATCTTACCCACCCCCTCCTCCTCCCGCCTCCGCACCACCACCGCCCTTTCCCCGTTTACCTCCTTCAACAGGTTCTTCCTACCCTCCTCCACCTCAATTTTCGAACTTGAATGGAAGAGTGTCAACTGTAAGGATTGAGAGTAAAGCGGAGATTAAATCGGAGGGGAGAGGGGTAAAACGGGAACAGTCTTTCACTCAAGCACTCAGGTACGGTCAGGTTTTAAATATTTTTCTCGCCATGCACCAATTTCTAAAAGTGTCATTTTTTGACAATTGAAAACCTCTTCAAAAGATCGTCTCTGATTTTACGGCTTTTAAGAATTACAAAACATATTGTTTATATTCTTTGCTAAAAAATGACAGACCATATTATAAATATGTTAGAGCGAGTGGTGTTCTTGTTTCAAGAACTATGTATATATAAATTTTGCTTGTTTGTCTGTTTGTTTGTATCCAATAAACGTCAAAACGGCTGTACCGACCGGGACTTAATTTAGTGTAGGACAATTTGCATTTAAAAGTTTTATATTTAGTAAAATTTAAAAAATCCACGATTTTTTTATAAAATCTGCGAAATTTTTTTTCTTTGCCTTAAAATGTTACACAAAGAGAACATGTTCACAATTTAAAAAGAAGATGGACGCGTGAAAGCCTAAAATTGTAAAATTAGGTTCTCAATATTTTACTATTGCCGCAAATATTTCAACAAGAAGACACTTCTTTCTCTAATTAACTAGAATTCATCATATTTAGTGGGACCACGCACGCTGCATTTAATTAAATCATACTAAAACTAAAAAATGTTAAAAAAAAATTTTAATCCTACATTTTAAATTATTCCTAGGGAGGTTAAAGCTGATTCTAAAAAGGATTCCAACTCCTGGCAATCTGAATACGAAGCCAAGAAGAGAGCAAGGATGGCCGGGAAAATGTAGTAAAATATCTAGTTGGCCGGCGAAATGGCCGATTTTCCTGACCCCGGAGGGTTAGTGATTATGAATCAACTTAATCGATCTCATGATTTAATTATTTCTAGAAGATATATGTAATGTATGATTGTATCGGGTGTAATGAATGTAGACTATTACGTATTTTTGCTCTGTGGGTGGGTACTGTGTATGAAATGAAAAAGAAACGAAATTATAAATGTTATTAAACTCTGCCTCAACTTTTAGTGTGGTGAAAATGAATGAATAATATTTGGAATTGTTGAGGGAAAGGTCAACTCCCCCACCCCATACTTTTTCTACACTAAAGGGGGAGAGATATATGATAAATTTTACAGTTGCACAGTTGAGTAAAAAGCAGACCTTGGAATTTGAAAATTTCTCACTAAATTTTATATGTAAATAACCACAGCTTGTATTTTAATCAAAATTTTGATAAACAATGATTCATGCAGAATTATTTCTTCAGAAAATATGAAAATCTAGTTTTCTTGAAGGCTTTGACGATGGATCGATTCATGGAGAAGGTAAAATTATTTTTAAAAGAATGTTAACAATATTTTAATGGCAGTGGTTTTCATTTTTAAATTCGCACTTCTTTTGGTCAGTGGTCATTAAAGATTAAGCCCAAGAGCTGGTTTATCATGGTATAATTAACATCTTTTTTGAAACTGTGGCATTAANGGGCTAATGATCAATTGACCAATTTATTTACAGACTCATTCTTTTTGGGTAACTCTGTAATATTAATAAGATTAACTTTATCTTTGTTTAAAATTAAATTTGTCCAATATTTAGGGTGTTTCTCAAAATAAACGAGCTCGCCAGCTATCGATAGCTAGGGATCAACTTCCAACAGGTTTATACTTAGCTTAAAGAATAAAAATTCGTTAATATTTTTTTCGTAATTTTTATCTGTATCTCTGATAGATTTGTCAATGAAGAAAGGTTATGTAAACGTAATTTTAATTTAAAAAGAGTCATGTCCTATTCACAACAGTACACCTGAAACCTTGTATGATCATTGATTAATAATGAATGAGATAACATTTTTTAAGAAATGAGTATTTAATTTTTTTCTGTAATTCTTTCAGGATTTATGCTCTAAATTTAACATGGTATTATTCCCAATTCTTGCTCGAAAATAAGATGTAAATAGTTCTGTTGTAAATCAGACTGCATGTCACAGACAGACTGGTTAAATTCAAAAATTCTAAAATGATTGATTGATTGATATATTTCCAGCTGAGCAAGATGACCGGTCAGCAAAGAAGCCTCGTGAACACAATCTCAACCTGCAAACAGATATCAGGTCTTTTTACTTAAAATATCAGAGACCAGTCTTTATTTTTTCTGTAGTGCTTAGGACCTAGATCAATTGGATTCACACAAATTGGCGGGAAAAGAACAAAATTGAATTTTTGTTCGTAAATAAAGGATCCAAATTTAATGGATGGATTTTCGTCGTCAGCCGGATCCGGATCAATTTTTTTGCATGACGGATCCACGACTCGGATTTGCAATAAAATTAAATAGATACGAGTTACACGCCCGATTAAACCTGTGAATTTCTGAGAAATACGTCGTCATGTTTTTCTCTCAACTAGAATTATTCTGTCAATTTCCTGCCTAGTTTCTGCTGCAAAAATCGGCAAGTCTCTTTTAATCAGAAATAACAGTTGGAAATCATATATTTTCAGATTGAAAACAAAGATATCTTCTTAATTTGCCTGTTTAAAGGATAATATTTTGAATCGGTCAAATAGAAGGTCATTTGGAATAAGGTTAACAGTCTCTTTAATTAAAATTTTTAATTGTTTTCAGTTCTTTCAACGCATCTTTCAATCTTTCAACCCCCTCTTCAATAGCCTCTTCAGTACCCTCTTCAGTACCCTCTTCAGTACCCTCTTCAATACCCTCTTCAATAGCCTCTTCAGTACCCTCTTCAATACCCTCTTCAATACCCTCTTCAGTACCCTCTTCATTACCTTCAAACCTGGGCGCATCAGAAGAATCTTGGAGTGACATGCCATTATCTGGGAATGTCTCCGACCAGCGAGATTCAAGTTCGCGGGGTGATACTCCAACATCCAGTGAAACCAATGGTGGTTCTTCTTTGCCACTAACTGAAGACTGCAATATAGGTGAATTTTTATTTTATAATAAGTCTTACAGGATTTCTGCATTCTAAATCTTTTTTGAGAGTAGAATGATTTTACTGGACACGGAACCCTTTGAACCCATATCAGAGTAACGAGAAGAAAATATCGTGTCTTTTTCTCTTTCCTAGAAAGTGTTAAGTACTAACAATTTAATATTCATGCAAGTCGCTTAAAAAACCACAATTATAAATTATCAGTTTTCATAAAACGAGGATATCTGCGTCATTTTAAGACAAGAATTTAAAGATTAACGTTGTGAAATTTTAACATGTCCCAGTTCCCAGGTCTTTAAACTGAGGGTCATTTGAAATAATGTCGACAGTCCCTTTTAAATCAATGAACATTTAGGAAATGAGAGTGACAGTGACCTTGATTACGACGACCTGGACGATCTAGTGGTTCCTAGTGATGCTGACGACTTCCTCGATGACGATGATGGTGGCGCTGATGATGATGGAGAAGATGATCATAGTGTTGCTTCAACTGCAACTACAGCTTCGACAGGTATAATTTGAAATCGGATTTTTTTGTGTAAAGTATTGTTAAATCTTGATTGCTTGATTATCAAATGTGGACACTTGTAAATATGAGGGATCAATAAAAGTTATCCCTGTATGGTATGCCAATCACAGGGATATTGAAGAGGAATGAAAATAATCTGTATATATGCATAATATGGAGATCAATGCTTGATTCCTAGATACGAAAGTGCTGACTCCTGGTTAATTATCAAATGTTGTATTCCTGAGGGGGGAGGGAGGGCTGTATGAAACATTTGCAAGATTAAGGATCTGATGTAAAATATCTCTTAAAAGAACTGATTACTCGCCTCAAACGTTAACCCTTATATCTTTGCTGCCTGATGCCATAGGTCGTTTTGATGTTTGTTTAAACCACAAAAAAGTTAAATATTAACTCTACATTTTTGGTCTTGGTTCACTTTCTACAGTTCATGAGATTTAAGATATTTTCAAACTCTGATAAATCAAAAAGCAAAAAATATTTACCCTATATGGATTGGAAGATTAGAGTTGGTTTTATTATCTCTTCATAGTTCAAAACTTAATCCCTGTCTTATATATTTTCAGGATCTGTTGGATCTAACACACCCTCAGTAGTTGGCGAAAGCTTGGAGAATTTCTCTCTTGGAGAATCTAAGAAAATTGCTAGTTGGGTCAGCCTGGCTCCTAACCTTACAGATTCACCTGCTCTTAGGAGGTTAGATTTATTATTCTCCCGTTATCCCCGTTCATTCATGTCCCTTTCTCCCCTTTCTCCCCTAACATTCTCATCGATTTTTCCCCTGACAACCTCTATCCTTGAAACCTTTTCTTCCTTCACCCCCTTTCTTTCGTAACCCTAGCTTTATAACAAGTCTAATTTTCTTAAAATCTGTAAACTCGTTCATTTTTTATTCGAGTTCTTTTACAATTCCTTTAAAAATATGTATACAAGAAACCAATCTATCGTTTTCTCATCTTTTTAATTTGACATGGACAACTAAAGCATCATATAGTAATAAACTCGTCCAGCATATAAAAATTCCCCCATACTTATGATGAAGCTTTTACTCAAACAAAATTTGTTTCCTTAGATATCAATCCCATTATTTAAAGATATAAAAAAGATTTGAAATAGAAGTAATGAAAAATGTCAAATGAAATTGTATCTTAGTTCTTTGTTCTCGAATATACCTCCTACAGTAAACTTTATGTTACACAATGAAACCTCAGCTCATCAGCTCCCCGACGATATCAAGTAGGTTTTTATTTATTATTTTTATCAACCAAAATTAAAAATTTTAAACCATTTAACGTTTCCTTGGTTTTACAAAGTTCCCCTAATATTTTGAGGCAAAACGGTCAAGGGGTTAGTGAGTTATTATCAGGATTCATTTAAATTGATGCCGAACCGGATCCGGATCCTGGATCCGAAGTGAAATAAAATGGATCCAGATCATGAACAGAAATCTTTAAGATTTACTGATATTTAAAAAAAACCAGGATTGTCAAATTATTTTTCTTCTTTTTTTCACTTCATTTCTTGCTGAAAATTTATGAACCATTTAGAGATCAGTAAATTTTTATACGTTCTCTTTTTTCAACAGGGTTTTGAGAGTAAAAACCTTTTTTTCCATTTTTTTGGTTAAAACTTGAGCAACAAAAATAAAGAAAAGGTTGGTTTTCGATTTGTAAAAGCGTAATTTTCTGATAATGTAATTTGGTTGTCATTTTTAAATAAGAACCACGGAAAATATCAGATAAAAGCAAGAATATCTTCATCATTGACGATTAGATGAAGATAATTAATTATGTTATGTTATTATCATTTGGGTAATGGGGGATAGGTATTAATTATTTTCAGTTAAAGATGTTGCTTTATTCGATCAAAATCTATTTATTATTGTGCTTAACAATTCCTGTTTAGACGACTGTTAAAATGGCGACTTTCGAACATAACCCCAGCGATTGTCAAGAGGTGCGCCAGTAATTCAGGTAAGATACTATTTAGTATTTATAGCTTCAGATCCACTTAATGTGGTTCCGGACCAAGATCCTGGATTAAAGACGACAGCAAAAAAGAATTTTAAGAAACTCATAAACGGTGTAAAACGTATTTTACCAAGTCAAAACTGATATAAAAATGAAGAGTTAGTCTTACATTGGGCTATATTTTTTATCAATAATTTTATCAAAAAGGTTTAAAAAATCTTAAATGCCCCAATTATCAGGCGTAAAAGGAAGTGACCTAAATTTGAAGTTCACAACGTTTTTCAGAAATGTATATGATAGTTAAAAAAAGCTCACTTTCTTTATTTTGATAACAATGTCATGAGGTAAGAAATCTTTTGATCAATTAAATCATAATTTTTTTCTTGTTCATGTCCTTATGTGCAGAAAAATGAACTAATAAGATATGTCTGATAATTAAAAACTTTTTTTTCAGGATTCCGTTTAATGCGACGAACTTGTCTTGACTGGGGAGCAACTTGGGGAAAACATATGAAATCTACATTATTCAAGGATATAAAGGTATAGGACGGGATAGAACAGGATAGGACAGGATAGGACAGGATAGGACAGGATAGGACGGGATAGGACAGGATAGGACAGGATAGGACAGGATATGACAGGATAGGACAGGAGAGGACAGGAGAGGACAGGAGAGGACAGAAGGAGTACATAAGAGTACATAAGAGTACAAAGGAGTACATAAGAGTACATTAGAGGACAGAAAAAGTTTAATGTTTAGGATAATCAAAAACTGAACCATTTTCCTGGAACTTTTAACATTGGAAGAAAAGACCGACTTTGGAAAAACTACCATAGGTAATAATTGCAGGTTTAATTTTGGATAAACTATTTTATAACATCAGATTGGAAATCATAGTTGTACACTGTTGTTGAAAACTATTATTGAAAACTGTATGGAAAGCCATCTTTTGGAATCTTTAATTTTTCAAAACCTGAGCACTTGTGTTTAAAAACTGTTTTGTTAGTTCATTTTCAAAATCAGAACTGTAGCGGTCATCTTTTTTTTTTGGACTGGAAATGTTGAATTCAGGATATGACTCAAAAGTTAATGTAATCAAATTTGTTTTACAAATTCTGTTTTCTCTCTTTTTTCTTTTTATATCCTTTTATTATCCTTCGCTCCATACACTTTTGATGTGAAAGTTTTACATATTTTTCTTATGCTGTATGTTAAAAGATATACAAGATCTTTTTATTTACTTTTTCCCTCAATAGCATTAATAAGAGCATTTTTAAATTTGTTTTGTAGTGAAAAATATTCTCTTTGATGAACAAAACGGAATTTGAAATCAAAAACTTTTGAGTGGCATCCTAGACATATCTTCTAGACTGATGTTGAAGTTTGGTAAATCTGAGTTTGGATTTCTACCAAGAACCTTTGTTCTTCCAGCAGATACTAAGCTTCTGAAAAAGGTAAACAAAGAACATCTGGTCCGAGGTCGGTACTTTTGTGTTGAGTATTATTAATCTTGAAAGCTTGATCTTGATATCTAATTTGGGCACTTATGAATATTAGGATGAATGCTTCACCCCTTAATTTAGTTCTTGTAGGGTAATGGGTTATCGAAAAGGAATTAAATCAATATAGGGCCGTGTAAGATCTTGATCCTGATATTCACAATTGAAAAGCTTTAATCTCAGATTTATGCAGCATGCAGCATCAGGCTTTGAACGGACCTTGATTTATGCAGCATGCTGCAGCAGGCTTTGAACAGACCTTGATTTATGCAGCATGCAGCAGCAGGCTTTAATCAGACTTTGATTTATGCAGCATGCAGCAGCAGGCTTTAATCAGACCTTGATTTATGCAGCATGCAGCAGGCTTTAATCAGACTTTGATTTATGCAGCATGCAACAGCAGGCTTTAATCAGACCTTGATTTATGCAGCATGCAGCAGCAGGCTTAAATCAGTCCTTGATTTATGCAGCATACAGCAGCAGGCTTTGAACAGACCTTTATTTATGCAGCATGCAGCAGCAGGCTTTAATCCTACCTTGATTTATGCAGCATGATGCAGCAGGCTTTAGTCTGACCTTTATTTATGCAGCAGACTGAGGAAGGAAGCTTGCAAGAATTTATTATTTAAGATGTATAAGATGAAAAAACGAAGATAGCTTAATACTTATTTTCACTTAGATAAAAGTTAAAATGGTTCATTGGTTTAACAAGTCAACCATTACTCCTCTTTCTGAAGATTTAAAAAGAAATTATTTTAAATGTTACTACGCCTAAATCTTTGCAGAAAAAAAGACTAAAAGTTTCCGAACTTCTGAATGCTGAAATGCATCAAAATAAATTTGTTTTGTTCATTTTCGAGTAAAAGCATCAAAGCTAGAGATGCTACAAGATAATGAAGTTGTACCAGTAGTTTTGTATAAATTAAACATTGTCCTCATGTTTAGATTAAGTGAGCGGAATTTTTTTTTCTTTTTTCTTCTCTTTTTATCCATGAGGAAATATTTTAACTAAGGTCTGGGAGAGACGAGGTGGACGAGGACGATGGATTGTGAAACCCCCTGCCCTGGCCCGAGGTATTGGTATCAGTGTGGTCAACAAGTTCTCAAGCATACCAAAGAACAAGCCCCTGGTGGTGCAAAGGTAACAACTAGTATCCTTAAAGGGACTGTAGGTGTAGTTTCAAGTGACTCTCCTAGCAAAGATGCCATTGTCAGATTTACAACGGAAACCTTTATCTGAGATCGAATTTAAAGAATTTGAGATTTGAGACGTGGCTGAAATTCATAAAATTCGGACACTGATCAATAATTTGGAAGCTTTTCTAGGTTTAAAATGTTCGGTTCCTATTTGTCTTCCTGCAGGACAAATAAAGCTTTTTAGGGTACCATTGAGAATCGGGCATTATCATATTTCCATGGAGGGTGACATAAAATTATGCTTACTGCCCCTTTAGTCATAGATTAAATAAATTTATTTTGGATTAGTTTAAACTATAAATTATTGATCGATTTGGAAATTTAGGTAACAAATCCCTTTTCTAATCAGAAATATAACTAAACCTTTCTTACTGCTCAAAGTTGACTCTGAGGTCAAAATAAAAACGCTTTCTATACTTATCGTAACATGTATTTCTGAAAAAGGGTAAGAGTCAATTTAAATAAATTATTTACTGATTTTTTATTTTTATTTTGATGTGAATGATTTTAGGTATATTGCTCGACCGTACCTGATAAATGGAACAAAGTTCGATCTGCGTCTCTACCTCCTTGTAACGAGTATAAACCCCTTGAGGCTCTACCTTTATGACGATGGCCTTGTCAGGTTTGTTTGCTAATATATATATTTGGTCGTAAAAAAGTGCTTGGAATCCAGCTTTGTCTTGAAACTAAAGCGTTCCCAGTTAGAAGTCAATCAACTCCTTATAGAAGTTTTAAACTAAACTAAGTTGTACTGAGATCCCCAATTTAAAATTTGTGACAAATCGGCCATAAGGTTCGTGAGTTATGAACGGAAAAATATTCAATCAAAATTTAGTCTTGAAATTTTACTAATTTTCCATTTGAACAATATTTTCGCAAAAAGATAATGAATAGAAAATTCCTTTACTGGTTTTGTCAAAGGGAAGATTATGCTGGGAAAGACATTGATTAAATGACAAATTATTCATTGAATCATTGTAAATAATTAGGTTTTTGGAGTAGAATTATGGCACCATCAAAGTCTGCTTTTATTTAATTGTTAAAAAGTATTAAATGTTCTTAAAAGACAAAGCGTGGTCATGTGGCGGCTTAGAATTACAGAAACTGGCGCTAGGGGGCTAAGTGGCGGGTTTAGTTGTTAAAACTGGCGCTAGTGGGCTAAGTGGCGGGTTTAGTTGTTAAAACTGGCGCTAGGGGGCTAAGTGGCGGGTTTAGTTGTTAAAACTGGCGCTAGGGGGCTAAGTGGCGGGTTTTAGTTGTTAAAACTGGCGCCAGGTGGTGTTGGGTAGATATATTTTTCTTTCCTTGTTTAGGTTTGCGTCGAATAAGTACAGTAATGACAGTAGTAGTGTTGGTGATGTTTACATGCATCTCACAAACTACAGCATCAACAAGAATTCAGCAACTTATTCACAAAATGAAGACAGTTCATCGTGTCAGGTAAAGAGCCAATTCCATAAAAAACTCGGAGGTAGTAGAATTCATTGCTTGGGATCTTTTAAATTTTGAGTCGGATCCTGGATTCGTCATGTAGAAAACTGGATCTGAATCCCGATCCCGCGTTAATCATCGTTTCATTTCATCTTTTACGTAGAAAATTGATTTACCTTTTAATTAATAGGAACTTTTTAATGATATTTTATTTGTTCAATGTGTTGGTTGAAATTTTTCCATTGTGCTACGGATCCGGATGCATATAGTTAAAATATTGCGGATTCATTTAATCCGGATCCGGAACACACCATATTTTATATAACAGTTCAATGTATATGTTCAAGGGGCATAAATGGACACTGAAAACTCTTTGGCGCCATTTTGACGAACAAGGGATTGACCACACGGTTGTCTGGGAGAAGATCAAGGATCTGATGATCAAAACGATCATCTCAGCCGAGGGATCCATGGCAAGCTTGTTCCAGCAGAATGTTGGTAGCAGGTTTGTGTTTAAGACACTAGAAAGATTTCTGAATAATTAATTATTGTCAGCTATGCTGTGTTATAATGGTTAATTACAATTTTTTTTATTGATTTTCTATTTTATTACTTAACTTAATTTTTCATCTAAATTAAGAGTTAGAATCTAAGACTTAATGCATTTAATGATTTCATTAATAAGGTATTCCTGTTATGAACTATTCGGATTCGATATTCTTCTTGACTCAAAGCTGAAGCCATGGCTAATCGAGGTAGGAATAGAATTAGAGGGTGGATTGGATTTTTTAAATGTTTTGGATTTAATTTTTTTTTGAAGATGATAATTACATTCAAAAACCATTGAAAATATAATTATGATTGAGACAACAATGACAAAAATTTTTAGAAAAGTTTTAAATTAGTTAGTCTTAATTTTTTATATTATTATATTTCTTAATAACAATGGGTTTTTTCTTTTGAGGGAACATTTTTTTGTCTATGTTCTTTCCGCTGTCACTGCATCATAAATCCGATAGTCGTGTGGAAAGGAAAAAAGTAATTGAAAGTTTTCAAATTTTAAGTTTGGTGAAAAAAAACGATTATTTTTGGCTCATTCTAACTTTTTCAAAATAATGGAACAAGTCAAATTAAGTCGTCAGTTACTTCAAATAAAACAAAAATAGTTGAAAGATTATGATTTAACTGATTGTACTATTCTAGGTTAATATCTCTCCAAGTCTTCATTCTTCCAGTAGTTTAGACCTGGATGTCAAGTCCCCCCTGGCTACAGAGGTTCTTAACATGGCAAGATACAATATACCAAACCGGATACGAATGCCACAACAGGTATACATAACTAAGTATTCCTTTGTGGTAGAGAGCTTTAAAAAAACTTGATGGTTCTCAGAGAAAATATATTTCGATATTTTAAATATCCTTTTTAATTCTTGAGGTGTAGTGTATAAGTTATAACAGTTCAAATCCCAGAGGTACAGTGGGACTCGTAAATCTGTAGAATAGGAAGACGCCACCTAAAGTAAGAGAGTATGTGTATTCTCCTTCCCTAGTGCTTTGAGAAGGGATACTGGATAGCCCTACTCTGCATAGCAATGTTGAGAATGCATACACTCTCATCTGACTGGTCCTATAATAAGAAAGTATACTAGTTATCTTCTGTGTAGTTGATATGGATTTAAATAGTTTTACCAGTAACTTAAAAGTCAATTTGTTAGGTGAAATGGGTGTGTTCAATGTTCATTGGACTTTTCAAAATTCTTACTTAAATGTGACAGTATTCTCCCAATTATACTGTTTTTTGGGGGAGATATTAGATTATCAACAATCTTTAACGCCAAAATACGCACATAATACGCGAAAAATCTAGCATTTTCTGCCAACAAAATTTTCTTTTAGCCTTATTAAATGTTTTAAAATGATTCATCCTTCTTAAATTTTCTGATTTGTCCCCCAAATCGTATTTTAGACCCATTGACGAGGTCTAATTTGATGTGGGACACCCTGTAAGAAAGTATAATAGTTATCTTCTGTGTAGTTGATATGGATTTAAATAGTTTTACCAGTAACTTGAAAGTAATTTTATAGGTGAAATGGGTGTGTTCAATGTTCATTGGACTTTTCAAAATTCTTACTTAAATGTGACAGTATTCTCCCAATTATACTGTTTTTTGGGGGAGAGGGGGTGGATTTTGGATAAACAAATTAAAATAAAAAATAAATAAATAGGTTTGTAGGCGCAATTTTTTACATAAAAATTTTAGAAATTTTTTTGAAAATGTTGGGGCTCGTGGAGAAATGCCAAAGGTCAAGGACATTATTTTTAAAACTTGGAGAGTCATTTTTATCTTGATGAGTTGCCCGAGAATTAGTTTTAGCTTGAAGTGGCCGAGCAGTTAAGAATCATTTTCAGCGTGCTTTTACAGATATCAAAGAATCAGTTTTAGCGTTAGTTGTCAGAAAATTAAAGAATTATTTTTAGCGTGAGTAGACCAAGAACTAAAGAATTATTTTCAGCGTGAGTTGGCATAGAACTAACGAATTATTTTCAGCAGGAGTTGGCAGAGAACTAACGAATTATTTTCAGCAGGAGTTGGCTGAGAACTAAAAAATTATTTTCAGCAGGAGTTGGCAGAGAACTAAAAAATTATTTTCAACAGGAGTTGGCAGAGAACTAAAGAATTATTTTCAGCAGGAGTTGGCAGAGAACTAAAAAATTATTTTCAACAGGAGTTGGCAGAGAACTAAAGAATTATTTTCAGCAGGAGTTGGCAGAGAACTAAAGAATTATTTTCAGCAGGAGTTGGCTGAGAACTAAAGAATTATTTTCAGCTGGAGTTGGCTGAGAACTAAAGAATTATTTTCAGCAGGAGTTGACCGAGAACTAAAGAATTATTTTCAGCGTGAGTTGGCTGAGAATTAAAGAATTATTTTCAGCGTGAGTTGGCTGAGAATTAAAGAATTATTTTCAGCGTGAGTTGGCTGAGAATTAAAGAATTATTTTCAGCGTGAGTTGGCTGAGAAGTTGGGGTATAAAAACCTCCTAATGCTGTGCCAGGAGAAACGTCTTTATGTCACAGATATCTCCAAGGTAGGAGTTTTAACAGGCTTGTAAAATGTTTATTTTCTCGGGAAAATATTTTTTTTTCGCCAGAAGCAATAACTTTTTATTATTTACTGAATTGGGAAAATTAAATGATGTCTTGGGTATAATGAATAATTTTTTGGGTAAAAAGTATCTAAAAGAATCAAATAAAATTGTAATTCGATGTCCAATTTTTAATTTTTTCCCCTCCTAAATTATTAAAATTTTTGAAAAATACCACCTCTGTTGTACAACATGTTTTGTCGAAAGAATCGTTCAAATTAGTTTTGAATTGAATTGAATTTATTGTACAACAAAATTTAAAGACGAGTGAATAAATGTCAGACAATCAAGAACAGTATGGGGGCCGAGCGCTGCTGTGAAGCATTATTTTTTCACCTTGGCGGTTGTGTCCGCGGGAATTTTAGCATATTTCCAGAATACGATACCTAGGTCCACGGGTATTATTCAGCTATTAACATGATGGGGCAAAATCATTTCTCCACTGCGCACCTCTTTAATTCACATCGGTCTTATGTAATCTTTATTTCTGGTATAGCGATACAGAACTCAGACCCGTGAACTGAAAAACAATTTAATCATTCACCGTTTTTTATCTTGTTAAATTTTAAAACCTTAATTTTTTGTTTGAAAGTCTGATCATCAAATTAAAACTAAAATTAATTTTTGGACTTCTTGCAATTTGCAGATTTTATGGTTAGTAGGCGTGCGACGAAAATATTGAAAATATCAGAAAGTTTTCATAGATTATTTATTTTAGGTTGAGAGGATTAAACATGATTCAGTTGTTTCTTCTTTCCAGGTATTCATCCTTCAGAGATCGGAACATTTGTGTTGGATATATATATATAGAATATATATATAATCCCGATCCCTTGATGTTGCACGTTGTCCAAACTACAAACACCAGGCTGAGAAATTTTCAGAAATAAGAAGACGACATTTTAAACAATTAGTGGTTGTAAATTTGGACGACTGGCTGATCCTATGATTTATTGCTGGCATTTTAAATGAGCATGTGTCTTTGGAAATTCTTTTAAACTTAAAATATTTGTTTTCGATCAATTGTGAGATTGTGAATGTAATTTTAGTTAAATAGGTTCTTTATCAATTCCAACAGTATCATTCTCAATCTTTTGTTTTGTGGCATTGCTATAACAGTTATCTTGTCATGAATGCTTCGACATTGGATTAAAACTACATTTGATATCTTGTCATGGATGCTTCAGTTGTGAAATATCAATCTTTGATGGTATAGTGTTCAGTAAATATAATATACAGTAAAGCAAGTTTTTAAAAAGCCATTCATAAAAAATTAAATCTCAATAATTCTTTAAAACTTAATCATTGATATTAAAGGGACTGTCATCGTACTTTTAATTGACCCACCACTCCATTTAAGAAGTGACATGCCTGATTCACAAAGGTCATCTTGAAACATTAATCTGATCAATTGTGTGGAAGTCAGAATCGTTTTTTTGGCTCTACTTCTATAATTCTGATAATTTCTGCATGGTTTCTGAAGCAAGTCACTTATGCAAAGAAAAGAAATGAATATGAACAGTTTTTAAAAACAAAAACATTAAAAAAGAATTCTTTGCTTGATCAGATAAGGCTTTTAAGGGGATCGTTGTATAACGGACATGCCACCATGATATTAATTTGAGGGTTTAAATGACAGAAAATGATTTTGAATTGACGGAACTAATTAAAATCGACCGTCAATTCAGTCAATAAACTTTCAATGTATTCCTCAAAACTGACTATTGTAAGGGAGTATAAAGATGTATTTTAATGTGGCCCTCCTCACAAGGCCGTAAGGGATTTATCACAGTAATTTCTTATCTAAGTAAAAGATTGGAGAAAAAATCAACAGTTTTTTCTGTCTTGAAAATAGATAATTTCTTTTCTTTCTTTCCTAGTTTTTTTCATTATATTATTAAAGAAATAAAAAATGATCTATTTTCGGAAAAATACATGGAAATCTTTTTATTTTTCAATTGGAGGGTTACTTTAAATTACATCAACAGTCTGTTATATTTTAATCACTTTGGTTTAAAAGTAAAAATCCAATTATATTTTTAGGAGTGTAAGGGTAGTGTAGCCCCACCCTCTATCCTTGATACTCTAACTCCAGATGATACAAGACAACTTGTTATTTCAGAGGATGAACTAGCAACCAGTAGAAGGTTAATTATCTAATAAATCTTAATGTTATGTTTTTATATTTTACTTTGTTAAAAATAAGATTAATAAAGGGACTGTTTAGTGCTCGCCACCGTCAAAATGCAAAAAAATATATTAATTTTTGAATTCAGGATCACGTATAGGTTTTTTTTTACCTCTCAAAGTTGTTAATATTCGAAATCTATCTGCCATGGTTCGCTACAAGAGAAAGTCACGGATTGTTTCGATACTTTGATTAAAGGATCACACAGAAAGCCCCCTTTCGTGCAAAACTGCATGCCCAAGGGTTCCCCAAAACCCCAAAAATATGCGCAAAATTTGGGTTCGGTTAAAACCTTAGTCTAAATTTTCAAAAATTAAACTGCGGGGTTCTCTGTTCTGGACAGGTCTGGACAATTTAACGCTCAAGAACGTGTTCGAGTGGTGAGATCGATAAACCTAGTTGGATTGTGAATAAAAACAATCAGGGTATTATGTAAAATATGTTCAACCAATCAATCCAATTAGACAAACAAGCTACACGTATAAGGTTATCAATTTATTAACTCTTGATATCTTCACCATTTGTTACTTCTGAAAATCTATCAAAATACCGTCTCAACTAGATACTTAATTTGACCACATAATTTATGAGAATAAAAATAATAATCTCCTAAATCTTAAATATTCTTTTCAAATATTAATTCCGTTCATTAATTTCAATCCCATCGTAAATAACTGCTAAATGTTAAAGTTTTTTTATAATTTTTAATTTTAGGTTTCAGCGGATATTTCCCACATCAGATACACACAGATATTTTAAATACTTTGACAAACCCCGGTACTACAATCTTCTACTTCATGCGTGGGAACGCAAGTAAGGAGATTTTAAATTAAGATTCCAAATGCTTAGGTTTTCAGATATTAACCAAAATAACATAACTTGCTTGGGAACCCAGCTTTGCCTTGAATTTTCCCTGTAAAAAATTGAAAAGCTGAATTTAGAATTTTTAAACAAAGCGAAGCATATTCCAATGGTTACCGAGTTCACCAATCAAAATTTGAGGCAAATCGGTCCAGGGGTTCATAAGCTATGAACAAACAAACAGAGATAATATATACAATATACATATATAAATATAGTTCAGTTTTTAAACTTCGAATTTTATAAAAAAAGAAAATATATTTATATATATATATATATATATAAAGTGTTAACTAATAAAATATCACTGAAACTTCCCTTATTTCTTATTGGTCAACTAGGTTCAGCAAAATACTGAGCTAAAAGATTTGTATATTTTTTTCTCTAAAATCTGTGAACAATGTACATAAGATTGCCTAAATGTCGTCTCTCTATTCGACAGTATTATGTATAAATTCTGTTAAGATAAGATAGTTTAAAAGAAAATGTAGTAAAAACTTAGAATTTATTAATTATGAAACACAAATGTTTAAAACTCAATAAACAGGGTTTCTCACGAAACATAAAAGTTGAGATTCCCCTAATTCTGGCATTTCCAAAATGTGATCTGTCTTTTTTTTTGCATAATTACTGGAGATAACAAGATTTTTTTCTGATTTCAATATATTAAATTAATCCAAAATTGTTGTCACCTTTGAAGGCTCAGAAAAAGGCAGACCACATTTTGGAAATGACAAAACTAGATAATTTTAATTCTAAAATTAGGTTGATAAATGAATGCCACAAATTTCAAAAAGATGACCTTCAAGTCAACTCTCAAATGTCATGTTTGAACATCTTGCGGAGATACAATTTTTTATTTTTTTTTATGTATAATATTAGATACTAAGGACTAGATTTGGTCACTTAGCCAGGACAAAATGTCCTGTCTCTTGAGTCACTCCTTCAATTGAAGAATAGTTGACCCAGTCGCTCAGCATCTCATCTGGAACCTGGTTAGAAAGTTAATCCTTTGCCCCCTCATTAAACTTTTATCACCTTTTCTCTGCTAACAAGTTCTCACAAGACCGTAGTACACTTGTGACAATCACCCCTGGCTTTAAAAGAACAACTTCTTTCTTGCTTTCTATGTTGAGACTATCTGTTAACCATAATGACATAATGACATTCCTAACCCAGATGCTGCTTTACCTTCCTGAGCCTAAAAGGTTTACACAGAAGCTACTGGCGGTTCCTCTTCTTACTATGTTCTGGGAGTTGGAGCAGTTTCTGACTTCTGGTTGGCTTATGTACTGTGGTCCAGAGCCATAATTTTAGCAGAGCCGCCTCTGCTTAAAGATCACTTAGCAGAGCAATGTTAGCCGCTTGAATAAGTTGGTCCACTTTTAGTCCTTTCTAGTGGCGTTGCCTTTTGCATTTTCCTTTAGGGTGGACAACGCTGCTTCCGTTTTTATCTTGAAGAAATTAGTTTATTGAATGTGTAAATCAACCTAATCACAATGACTCTTAAGTCTGTGGTTCGTGATTCAAGAGTCTTTTAGAGATTAGAAGAGAAGTACTCAATCATTGTTTGTGGCCAAAAGTTTTGGGTTAGAAATTCCTTTAATTTGTTGAATGAAAATGTTTTTGTCTCTTCTATACTCAAAATCCAGGCAATTGGCAGCACATACATTTCAAATCTTAATATAGCCATTTTGCAATGCACTGCTATTTGTTTTAAGAGGAGGAAACGGCTTGAAAAATCAGTTAAACTATTCAGTATTAGAGATACAACAATGTGAATAAAGGCTACAGAAACTGTGATATTTATACTAGAGTCTTGATTTTCCTCCTCTTGGTTGTCCATCCATCCATCTGGGACTGAAACTGGTTCTGCATGATCACTATTAGTTGGAACAAGAGAAATTTGAATGTTTTGAATTGGCATTACTTGTCTTCTCCGCTTCCAAGCTCTATACTTCTGTACAGCAAAAGAGATCACCTCTCCGCTGAATATTATCAGAATTTGGATCCATGGCATTGAAACAAATGATGATATATCTGCTTTTACTCCATAAGATTCTGTAAGCATAATGAAGTAGCCAGTGTTACAGTTATGTCCATGCACTCCGATATTAAAGCAGATATTTGTCAGCACAGTGACTATTGTTATACCTAAACTAATTTTGATATGCTTTTCATGATTAAGGTTGAAGAAGTGATGAGGAAACAGGACTAGTGCAGTCTTAGATAAGGACAGTAGGGACAATGTTGTTATATGACAAGTTAATATCCATTTTGGTGTTGTCAAACTGCACATTAGAGCTGGAAATCTTCGGAACATTGCATTTGTCCACAAACCAAATATGTTGAATAGCATTGATTCAGCATAGGTCCTTATCAGCCCCAGAAATATGAAGAATACCATCATCTTCAGTTGTCCAATAATAACAGTTTGTTGTACATAAGGCCTGGTTTTGAAGTACATGTACATACTGTACAGAGCAAAAAGTGAGACTGGGAAAGCCAGTGAGTCTATGATGAAAGTAATAGCTCCAGGTCCAAAGTATATTGATGTAAGAAGAATGTACAATAAACCACATGATTTTAGCTGAATATTTAGAACCATTTCAGCTTTAGATTAACAAACTAATCCCAGCCAACTTCCAGGAGATGTAGAGTGTTTTGTAACCAAACCAGGACAGTTAATCTAACTCCCTGGTGTCATCATATCGAATTCCAAATTTAAATTAAATAAAAAGCTTTTATAAAATAAGATTGTTCACACTACACTTTCTCTGAGTGTAATGCTTAGACTAATTGGTTAACATCAAGCGTAGAAATTTGTTATGTTCTCTAAAGAGAGAAAAAAATCGATATTCATATTTACAATTATTTGGAAGAAATATGATAACTAATAATAAAAATATCAAAATTAAATAAATTACTTTTTTATTTGTACCAAACTATTATCTTGTATATATATTTACCAAGGTTTTTAGTCAAGTAAAGTAGAAATTTAAATTACTGAAAGTTGTAACAGGGGTTTTTGCGGATTTTCTGTTAAACTTAGCGTGTTTTCAAAAATAATTTGTATCGACATTTTTTCTAGGCAAAATTTTCAGATAATTCATTATGATATTGATGTTTATTATATACAAGGATGGATTGGTAAGAAATAAGCAACATTTATGTAATTACTAGGATTTATTCCTTTTTTCTAATATAAATCTTACATTTGATTGCGGTTTTGGTTGTTCTTGCACGCTGATCCAAATGTCTTCTTTTGGTGTTTTATCAGGTTTCAAGTTCTCCGTGTTTCAGTATAATTTCTCCTGTTAATGTAAAGAACTATAAGCATCTAGTTTTCATTGTGGATATTACAACCCTACAACTACCCTAGTCATCCTGCTTAAAAAGTTTTAGAGTGGATCACACTGGTTTAGCCATCTTTCAGGCTGTTGTTTATCCTAAAATAATAGTTTAAATTTTACAGCAAGGGACCTCAAGCACTTAAATAATACATAAGCATGTTTTGCTTTCAGGTACTCTGGGTTGGAACGAGAGACCGGAAGAGCAGTTCTAGAAAAGCTTTGTCTTGCAAAACATCATCTGAAAGTTCCTGCAAATGTTTACGTCAAGAAAACATCTTCCGGACAACAGGTATTAGACATTACCTGCAGGACAGGATAATTGTAGGTTGTTTGCTAATAATAATAATAATAAAAACTAGAATAAGAACTCCAAGCTAAACTTGACATCGGAGAGATTACAGGGGGTTGTAATGTAATTAAACAGATGATTTTTATTAAACAAATCTAATAAAAATGGTGGACAAATTGCAATTCCTGACTTGAGTTTTAGTTTCAATTGTCTTTAAATTCATCTAATACTATTGTCTTCCTTGTTTTGGTTCTTGGTGATCATTTGATGCACGGTTTTGCTTGTTACTGTTTAATATAGAAAAATAGTTACTTTTGATATCCTGACTCTAGTTTTTGTATCAAGAAAGTCGTCGTTCTTTAATACAATATTTTTAGGCTATTGATATTTCTGGGCTAGCAGCTCCAAGTGCCGAATCTGAACAAAAGGAAAAAATAAATTTAAAAATAGTTTTAATACACCATGCAGATAATATTTAGATTTTAAACATTGCTATTAAACAGGAAGTTCTTTCTTTTCAGTTTAATTTTATTAAAAAACAAAACAAAATTTCACAATTTTTTTAAATAACATTTTTAGTTTTAATCTGATGAAATTTATTCTGTTGTTTAGACTGAATCCCTTGTTGAACCTGACACACTAAAAAGTACTGGCCTGCTTGAGACTGGACTATTAAGGTAAATAGACATTATCTAAACATTCTTCAGCTTTAAATCAAATGCTACTTAATCTATTGCTCATAAAGTTATATTCTTTGTTTGGGTTCTTTGACAAAATGCACTTAATATGTTACTTAATACTGCAATCAATGCTTTGATTTGATTTCATAGCGTTTTAAAAAATATTTACTGTAGAGTTGACGATGGAAGACGATTTTCATCTGGATCTGAGATGGATTGTGGATCAGTAACTCCTTCACCACGTGGAACCCCGGAGCACTCTCAGCTTGCGGAATTTTTGGCGGGGAACTCAGGGTTTGACGAAATTTTAGCTGGAAATGCGCCGGGTAGCGAAGTTCATGTTAAAAACGTGACAAATGAGAGAAATGACAATTTGCTGGAAAATCCACAGAAAACCATGACGGGTCAACTAAACTGTGACGTTAGTACAGAAGAGATGAGCACACTGGACAATAGAACAACCTCTAATAATCTCATTATTGACAACTAGGGAGGCCTCTACGGACTAATAGGGATCCTCCATGGATTCTAAGGATTCATCAACTATGCATATATGCATGAAATTGAGCACTAAATATTTTTATCTTCACACTAAACAGATATGTTTTATATGATATTGACCTTAAATACTCATTTTTTTCATTATCAAGAATGCGAATCATTTCAGATAAAACGTTGCCAAAGGAAAATGAAGATAAAAGCAGTAATGATAGATCTAAGGTAATTTAAGTGTTGTTAATTGTTAGGAGTTCATTTAGGATTGACCTGATTGAACACTAATCATAAGATTTTTTTAAAGGCATGCTTGCATTGTGTGAAAAAATAAAAGGTTTTAGGCTATATTTAATGTATTTTAGAGTAACAAGTATGAAAAAGGGTGAATTAATGTGTCTTAACCCTTCCCCCCTTCACCAGAACCAAAAGTCATTTAATTCTTAAATCTATCTATCCGGCTCTGTTACAGTGCTTTTTTGTTCTTTATTTGCGCTTACACAAATTGTAGTTTCAAATATTAACCAAAGATAATATTGCTCTCTAATCTCCGTATTTTTCCTCTCGATAACATTTTTCTTAAATAAGAGTCACGACGGAAAACGAATTAAAATTCATGGTACTTCAGTATACCCTTTGAGGTCGTCGTTGTATCCTGGAGTATTTTTGTTAAGTTAATTTTTAAGATATCTCCCCCCGCCCATTTTAAAGTTGTTTAGTTAAATTAGTATTCTAAAAAAATGTTTAGTTCTTTATTCTTGTATGACTTAGTGGAACAGTTCATGTTGGAACAAATCTTTTACCTGGGGCCAAGGAGGCAATAGTAAAGGTAACGCCATTTTTAAGGAGTCCTTAGTAGAAGAAAGAAACTTTATACGCTCCTTTTTGTCCAATATTGCTGTTAAGTTATTAGGATAAATTGCAAGAAATCTGATAAAATATTTCCTAAAATTGTTTTTAAATGATACTAAATATTGAAATTTTATTTTTGTTAAAAATTTTTAAATCTACAATCTTAGTTATTTTAGTTAAAATCTGCGAAAGTTCCGATTAAGTATGTGACGAATACTTCAAAAGAGAGCAAAACATCTCTGATAAGGCGATTAAAAAGTGCAGGTCCTATTTTATCATACTATACTTTAAGGCCGCTTCGGGTTCATCTTCTATTTCAATGGTGAACATTTTCTCTTTGTTTACATTGCAAAACAAAAACAAAACATGGATTTTATAAAAAAAAAATTTGTGGATTTTCAAAATTTTCAAAAATCGAATTTTATCCCACAAAAAATTTGGGCCCGATTGGTTCAGCCGTTTTGACGTTTATTGGATGCAAACAAACAGACAAGCAAAGTATATAAATAGGCTATTTCAACTGAAAACAATGTACATTGTAAAGGAAAAAAATTGTTGCAGATTTTATAAACAAATTTTCTCAAAATTTAATGCAAATCGAATTTTGTTGGAGAAAATATTTTGGAATTTTGATCTTCTATAAACCTTCCGTGAGGACATTTTTGGGCCCGATCAGTTTTGCCGTTTTTACGTATATTGGACACAAACAAACCAAACAAACAAAGTATGTATTTTTTATCGTTTCCTTCCTTTTTTCCTCTGCTGCATAAATGCGCTAGTCACTAAAATATACACAGAACCCACAATTAAAAATTAAAGAATTATTACCAAATTTTGAATGGAAAAACAAGGATATTGTAAATTGGTTATTCCCTTCTTCAAAGGAAGGGTCACTTAAAATAACAAGGAGAGTTTATCAATGATTAATCTTGAAAAAGTCCAAATAAAAATGGGAAAAATTATAAGTTCTGAAATATAAGTTCTGATATTTGTTTCAGGTTTACATATTGACAAGGATGAAGTTTTTACTTCTCTTTCTGCTGCTAGAAACTATATAATATCACAGAATATAAGGGAATTAATAATAAGTATTTTATTACTTTTAACGTCTTTTTACCAACATTACCGACCAATGATTTCCCCAACTACTTCTTAAAGATAATAAATTCTGATCTCTGATTATATTTTAATTATTTATCAAAAAACTTTCTCATTATTTTCTGGAGAAAAATGTTCTAAATATAATTTACAAGATGCCATTTTGAAATTTTCAATAAAGTAATGAATAAAAATTATTGGTTCAGACCACTATTGTTGTTAGAAAAAGAGGCGCTTGAAGATTTTGAAGGTATTGAGGTAACATTTTACCTTCATATTAACATAAATCACCATTTTTCAAAAAGCCAATCCTTTGTCTTTTGTCAATTGTCATTTTTATTCGTTGATCTATATTTTATATTCTACATTCTTTCCTTAATTGTAAAACAACTAACTTTATAACATCATCATGTACATTGTACACATCAGATTAAATCAATTCAATGTCAACTTCCTCTTGTACAGTTTTATGGGTCCCTCTTTATAAAAAGTAAAATAGTTGAATTACAATGTTAAAACTAGTTCTGTCAACCTTTTTCTACATAGCATTATCTGTTTATCTATCTATCTATCTATTTTTATCAAGCTATCCATGTATCTATATATTTAAATAATTGCCTATTTACTAATCTATCTATCTATTTTTATCAAGCTATCTATGTATCTATATATTAAAATAATTGCTGATCTACTTATCTATCTATCTATCTATCTATCTATCTATCTATCTATCTATTTTTATCAAGCTATCTATGTATCTATATATTGAAATAATTGCCTATCTACTAATCTATCTATCTATCTATCTATCTATTTATATATCTATCTATCTTTCTATTTAGACGGAATCTCCCAACAGTGTTGTTGTGGGTTTAGCTCCAACTCAGGCACCCATTGATAAAAATACACCCTTATTAGGACAAAATTGTTCCTCCATCAAATAATAATTTTATTAGAAAATTATTTGTTTTCTAGTTAATTTAGGAAATGAACCGTTCATTTACAGATTTTTTGTTTTAATTATTTTATCCATTTTAAACCACTTTGCTTTGTGACGTAGGGTGTTTGTTAAACATCAGGTTTTTGGCACTTAACTAAACTTTAAGGAGAGGGGAAAGTGTTGTTCATATTCATCTATTGGTACAAATCTTTTGAACTTACAATTTTAAACAAACAACAGATGTCAAAATGGATTTGCCAGGCACATACATTCCTTTAGAATTTCTGAGTGCTCTACCTACCTCTTCTTAGTTTTTAACGCATTGGAGCACCCTAGACCGCATTAAACCCCCCTCTTCCTCATTCCTCAGTTGTTCAATGCTGGTTTCTTAGTTTCACTACGAGAAGATGAACGAAGCATTTAACTTGATCAAGTCCGGAGGAAGTTTGGTTGCAATTAATAAATCAAGATATTATAAGTCGGAGAAGGGGTTGTCAATTGGAACTGGAGCGTTTGTCTCAGCTTTAGGTAACATTATTTAACATAACCTGGTTACCATTTACCAGATAAAGCGGAAATATGTATAGTCGTCCTCATTGTTCAATTAGAAAGGTTTTGTCATCTTTAACTGCCAAAACTCTTAAAAGGTATTTTGACAGCTCACTATTTTGATCTTAAACAAAGAAGAAAAATAAAAATCCCGGCAAAATCTTTTTCGCACGTATGATAACCATTACAAAAAACATATTTAGTTTCTTTTTCAATTTTACTCATCTTGTTTAGTGAAAGGTCGTTAAAGTTACTTTATCACCCTGTCGTAGGGTGATTTAGGAACTTTATCGCCTTAAAACGGAGAAATTCCTTCAAAGTTGAAAAAGAATGTTATGATTCATGGGACTTGAAAAATGAATTTGAGCTAGGTCAAGAGTCGGTTGAACCATATATTTTGAACGGTGATTCGGATTTAACCATGTTGACTCTAACAGAATAGTAGTTGAATTGGCGCAAGGAAGTTTAGCGACTTAGTTCAAAGTCATTAAATTCGGTTCATAGGTATATATTTTCTTAAACATGATGTCCTCTCTCTGGAAAAAATCCTGTTTACCCAAGTTTATATTTCATGTACCCTCTAAGATCCCTGTTACACATTAGGTTACATTTTAGAATTTTCGACTGACTGTAAAGCCTATGTGGTCGGAAAACCAGAGAAAAACTTTTTTCATCTTGCACTTAAAGGTAAATGTTATAAAAAAAGAAATGCATTTTTTTACCTTGACTGAAAAGTTAATTTTCAATTCGGTTCATGAAGCGTCTATTTTCTAAATGTCATGACAATGGATGGATATTCTAGTATGGATATTGGATGAGATACTCTGCTGGCTCGGTTTATCGCGAAGAAAAACGTTGTAATTTGTGAATTGTTTACTGAATTTTTTTATTAGAAATTAATTTTCAGTAGAAATACAATTTTAAAAATATTTGATCTAGAAATCTATAACGTAGTTGGTCAAATTTTTAATATTCTCATGTGATTCATTATTTATCATAATGTCTCTGGGCTTTAAGGACGCTTTGTGCCTCTTGTTCTAGTATTTAAGGTTTAAATGTGAAAGAGAAAGTTAAAATTTTGCGAATTTTTCTGTTTGCATTAATAGATTTCCAAATGTTTTTTTATATAGGCAAATTTTTTCCATAGCGACCTGTCGTAAACATTCCCTGGGTCATGTGACATGCCAAGAAAAAGAATAAGCTAAATAAATATAGAGATTGAAATTAACAACTGCTTCAGAGGGTTTAGGGTCAAATTAGTTGAATAAAAAATGAAAACAACTTTTTTAGTAGGTTGAATAAAATTATGCCCTGAAATAGTCAGAATTTTTTTTGAAACGCCAGTTGATTACATAAAATCTTTTAGATTTTATGAATGATTTGAAGCCAATTGAAGTTCTTGTTGCTGGTGACGATATTCGGGATGATGTTCTTGGAGCTCAGAAGGTTTAAATCTTCTTATTTTTTTATTTAAGTCAATGCTTGCGTTTCTTAATTGATTGATTGTATGATTTGTTGATTGATACTTGATACTTGTTATGCGATTCCAAGGACTCCAGGTAGGAGTATAGTAGGAATTTCTGGTCGTGTCCTCCAGAATAGAGTTCAGATCATCCTAGTTTCCTGAGTTCTCAGCAGACCTTGTTTACTACTCAAATACACAAGTAAAGGTTTAGATGAACAGTTTATCAAGTTTAGATTTGAAAATTGTCAGGGTTCAGGAGTCCTTAACATTTGTTGGGAGACCATTCGATTTAGCTACAACTCGGTTTGTAAAAAAGTTTGATCTAATGTCAGTTCTTGATCTGGTTCCTAGACGTTTTCTATGGTATGCTGTGTTTCTGCCCAACCAATATAAACCAAGTTGAGCTATCAACATCTTCAATTCCTTTTAGAATATTTTAAATGCTTGAATCAGATCAGCTCTGTATTGAATGATTTTTTTGATGATTGATGCTATATAATGGATGATGGATGATGGATCATGGATAATGGATAATGGATAATGGATAATGGATAATGGATAATGGATAATGGATAATGGATTGAGTATATGGTTGACAATGGGTGATGGATGGTTTATGATAGATTGATTGATTGATTGATTGACTTGAGTGTAATCTTGATTTTATGTTTGACGGATTGATTGATGGTTGGTTGATTAATGATTGATAGATGTTGGAATTATTGACAACATATTATAGGCTGGCCTTCAGGGTGCCCTCATCAAAACTGGAAAATATCAAGAAGGCGACGAAGACAGGTAACTAAATGTTAAAATCAAATTTTTTTAAATTTTGTTAACACAATAACTTTGCAAGTTTTAATTTAGACTGAAATTGTAAGTTTTAATCTAGACTGAAATAATCTTAATTTGTTCGTCAAAGTTATCACTCTGTGCTGTGCAAATAGCAAATTTCCTCATAGGAAGCTGTTGAGAGATAGAGGACGATATAAAACATATTCAAAGTCGGAGATGCTATATCAATTGAACTACTTAAAATCTGAACTAACGCTCAATTCTATTTTTATGACATATGAATATCGTTGGTGTTATACCCAATATACTAAGAAGCCTTGGACTGCTGAGTTAATGAAATCATTTCCTGGTTACGACATTAATTAGGGTTGCCAACAAGAATAAATAAATAAAATGATCAACCATCGTCACGTAGAAGTCAGGATTTATCTCTTATCTAACTGCACCACCATCATGGTTGTCAGTGCATCACTGTCACATGTTGCCTATATAACAAGAATTCTCAATATATGTTTATGTTAGGTTTGGGGAGCCCAACTATCTGTTTGAAAACCTGGAAGAAATGGCTGACTATGTAATTGATCAGTTCAGCGATCCCTGAAGAGAGAGAGAGATACCATAGCAGTTTGTTCAACATTCCCTAGATAAATCCTATCCCAGCACCTTTAGATACAATTCAACACATATCACAACAGCAAGGAAATGGAGGGTATATAAATATAGTAGTTGAAAAATAAGTTCCCCTCCCTCTTTAAAAATCTCCATCAAAAGATGTTTAATGGTTTTTTATCACTGACTTGGTGGGGAATTAAAATGATTTTAAATAAAATGTCGTTAAAGGTATACAATCTTCATAAAGAGGGTGGGGGGGATTCCAAAAAGGTGAACCCCTAGATTTACATGGTAGGTTCTAGAGCTTAGAACAACTAAGTATTAACCTTTCTGGTGTAATTTTCTTGCTTTTTTACCTAGTACAAGTATTAAATATCCTTTTACAGATCACAAAATGAGAGAGAAAAACAGCCAACTTGGAAACAGTAGTTGAAGTAAAAATACGAAAAATGCCGCGCTTCGTGGATTTTTTGCTGGTGATTGCGCATTTGGCAGTTGCTGTGTCTGATCTTAACTCATGTCAGCCTGTTAGTAAACATTTCTACAAGAAATACTCAACGAAAACTCCGTATCAGTATATTGTTGATGAATTGGGTGAGCTTTATTTTCGATCATTAATACAAATATTATGTTGACATGAATAATTAAATAAATGAATTCATTTTTAGATGAGAAAGAGAATATTCAACCAAATTCAGAAGATTGTCAGGACGTGCAGGTCACTTGCAGTAATAGTACCTTTCTAAATTCATACAAATATAAATTCTCTAATAAAAAGCTGGTGTGCAACAATTTTCATTGAATCTAAAAACTTTTTAATGCACAGAGCACGTTCATATTAAAACCAGCTCTTTTTAATGCACAGAGCACGTCCATATTAAAACCAGCTCTTTTTAATGCACAGAGCACGTCCATATTAAAACCAGCTCTTTTCGAGGAATATCAATTACTCTCTGAAAATTCAGAATCAGTGAAAATTTAAACCATTCTAATTGATTCTAATTTTTCTACGAGTAAATAATATATTTTTCTAAAAAATATGTAATTTGTAGAATTTATAAATTTAGTTTTTAACATTATTTAATTCCGTGTAATTTAATCCAATTCTAAGTCTACTACGCTTCCACGGCGATAGTCGCCCCTAATTCTAGTAATAATTTCAACTCCTTAGGAAAATAAATTTTACTTATTCCAACTATTTAAAAGTGATATTATTTGTACAAAGATAATATTAAGGTTTGGAGTATTGTACGACATGGGACCAGATATCCAAGCAAAGAAGCAATCAGATTTATAACTAAGGTCTGTGCTACCTTCTCCTGAAGCATAGCGACGGCGTTCAATGACCTCTTATTTTAAGAGAGGCATATCTAGTTCACATTTGTACCCTTTTGTCTGATTAAGAGTTAATACCATATTCTTTGTCACTTAAATAGAGACTTAAATGGTACCGTTTTGAATAGGGCACCTACAGTTCTTAAATACCCATTTCATAATAATTGCAGACATGCAAACAGATGGTATCGCTATACTCCATTTCTGACCTACGGCATATCCGCTAAACTACACTTCCGACCTACTAGTACGTGGTTTTACAACAGCTGAAAGTTTGATTTGTGAACGCAGCCCCTTGTCTGTCCTAGCTGCGGCGCTTGGCCTTTTAGCCTGTCCTAGTCGCAGCACTCGGCCCAGAAATTGTCTTAACCTAACCTAACCTAACCTAACCCTAAAAAATAGAAAATAAAACAGCTGTCGTAGGTCCGATATTTCAGTAGGCCGGAAAATAAGTAGGTCGGAAGTTAAGTAGACGATGTAACTTTACCATGGTTTATATGTTGATAAGAAAATTTTAATCTGTGTTTAGGCGTGCGTAGGCAGAAACATTTTGTTTAATTTAAATGTTATAATTTTGAATATTTTAGACAAAATGGAATTATTCTCACTATTTGTGCTTAAAATGAAACTAATAATAAATTTCTACAGAAAGTTTCAGAATCTTGAATTTATTATTATATCTACATATATTGTACGTTCATAGTACAAGTTTTTATATCAATTTTTAAGTAAAAATCTTATTTAAAAAATAATTTAGGATGTTGTAGAAATCCGTGATAGGATATTGAACAGCTCGAACTCATTGATGTGCAAGGCATGGAAGAAGTAAACCATTGATGATATTAATTCATTGACTTGGGTTGCATTGCTTGGGTGTCTCTCTTTCCTCCCTCTCCTGTGTAGACCTAATTACAGGGTGTAAATTTTAATAAAAAATCATTCTCCCTTTTTTTGAAAATTATTTTTGCCCGGAAGATTAACCCAATTTTTCTTGGCTTGAAAATATCAACATTTTCCGTCATGTTAGGATTAAAACTTTGATTTATTCTAGCAAGCAATTTTTTTGAGAAACATTGATTTTAAATCAGAATATGGGATTTCATGTGAAGTATCCAATTATGTTTTAAGTCCTTTTAATGATGAAAACGTTAAACTTCATGCAAATAAAATTATTAAAATTCTGTTATGATGATTTTTTTTAACGAAGCTTTTTGGTTATGTTTAGGAATACATTTTTTCCTTTTTATAAAAAATGTCCTTAGAAAATTTACAGAATTCGTTATTCAACTTAACAAGATTTAATAACTGATTTATATGTTATTTTAAAATCTTGTTTCAAATCAATTAAGTTTTTAAGTTGGTGGTTTATTCGCTAAATTGGGGAAAATAATTTTTTTTTGAGATCTAAATATTTATTATCTTTTTAAATTGTACAAAATAGTTTACGTGTAATCGACAATTTCGTTTACATTTTTTTTAGATTTGTGAAATAAATACAAAATGTGTTTACATTTTCTTTTGATAGATCTGTATCGGGGTTAAATACGTACATTTCTTAAATTAGAAATTTGGACTTAAGGATACTTAGATCCTGCAAGACATATAAATTGAAGAGTGCAACAGTGAAGTCGTAGAAAAATTAAAATGCATATAATAAGTCATTGACGATAAGAGGGTATGCGAATAGAATAGAAACTTTTAATATACGAATATAATATGGGGAAAATAATGTTAATGGGAAAACAACTAATTTTTGGGAAAAAAGTTTGGAGATGGATAACAAAATTGTAATGATGTCAAATTTTTCATTCCCGCCCCCCCTCCCCACCCTGGCAGGTAAGAGGGGGGGGGGGCTAATTCTTAAAAATTTTATACACCGCTGAACGGGAACTCCCTTTACTATGCCGTAAAAGTGGTTTTGAATAAACTTCTCCCTGTGGTTGTAGGAGGACCTAGATAATCTTCTGAGCTGGAAACCTGAACAACTGAACCTTGATCAGTCCAAAGATCTTCATGTCGAGGTGTTAACTTTTAAAAATACATTATATGTTCTTTGTCCATTTTCAATCATAATTTTTTTTTATACCAAACTCGTAATTTTGCGTTTTTGTTTCAAAATATACTAGTAAAATAACTTAAAAAGGACTCCGACCACATCATTATACTTAACAAAAAAAAATGTTACCTCTCATTTAAGAAAACTCAGAAATTTGCCGGTAAGATAAAAATAGGACTTAAATTCAGCTTTTTAGTTGTAATCTCTGTTTGTTTGTATGTCCGATCATAAATCATTAACCTATTGACAGACTGGCCTCAAATTTTGATTGGGGAACTCGGGAAAACCACTGGAATGTTCTCAGGTTGATTTTGAGATTCTAAGTTGAATGGGTTTGCTTAGCCAAAATCGTAATTTACAACCAAGCGCTGGCTAATTGTGGGAGTAAGGATGAGTATAGTTGTGTGGGAGTAAGTATGAGTATACCCTGGGTCTCAATATTTGTGTGTATAGGGTGAGGATGAGTTGATCTATATGGGGGAGAGAATGGTTTCCAGATTCCCTAATCTACTCGCGGAATATCAACCTCAACATTTTCTATTTAGGAACGAAAAAAATTAAAAGTTTAATGCCATATGCCATAAAGTGATTCTCCATACAAACCATGGCAATGCCTTTGGATTCTTTGTCTGATCAATAATGTTGAACAAACAGACAAGCAAAGTATNTTTTCCTAATTTTAAAAGCCACTTTTTAGAGAAACCATAATTGAAAATAATCTGTTTTCAAAATCATAAACAGTAATTATCTAATTTATACTTGATCAGACAACGCTTTTAGGGGTACCGGTGTTAATTAGGCTTTGCCATTTTTGCATGAAAGGTAACTAGACGTTACCCTTTAACAGTTCCTTTAATATTGAGCATGTTTATTGTTTAATTCAAGATTGTTAATGTTGTCGTAGGACGTCCCTAAAACTCTTATTTAATTTGATTTAATTGATCGATTTGACATTCCAGTTTTAAAATTTCCTTTTTGAGAAAATAGTTTAGTTTGATCAATTTTGTTAGAGCTACAGGAACTCAAAGAGCTGAATTGTCTGGAAGAAGTTTTGCTGTAGGTAGCATAATTTTTCTCTCATCTAAAATTATTTCCTTATGTTATGTCAGAAGTGTTTTAGAATTTTTTAGAAATTTTTTTCGCTGAATTTGGGATTGATGCAGTTTTTGTTTCATTGTCTCAAAACGTTAACAACTTTTTTTAAAAGTATCGNCCCTTCAATTTTATTAAGAAATTTTTCATATGTTCAGGTTTATTTTCACGAATGATTGCTCATAAGGTGAAGTTTGAAGATCCCATTCAACCACATGATCCTCTTCTCAGGGATAATTTCATGCACAATAAAAAAAATATTTAAAGTGACTGCACACTTAGTTTTCCCTCTATTTAATTTACAACAATACTCTTTAAACCTTTATCTGATTAATTAATGTGCAAGATATCTGCATTTTTTAAATTGCTTAATTCAGACAATTTTCTCCATTTTTTCTACAAGTTTGTTTGTGATAACCCTTAGTTGGATAAAATCAATTTTTAAAGAGAAAATCATAAATCTAATATATTGTCTTGATCAGGAGAAGAATTTAAGGGTAGCATTGTAGATTGAACATGCCACTTTGTATATAAGGGTCACTTAAAATTAACTTGAAGAATTAGCATGTATGCATGAACTAATTATAAAAAGGTTCTACAAATTGTGTAAAAAATGGTTGAAGGAGGTTAAAAAGAACAATAGTTCCAGGATCGAGTTCGATTTGTTCTCAGAATCTAGTCATATTCAGGAGATCAGGTTAGCTTAGTTCTCTTAGTCTAGTCATGTTCTGGAGATCAGGTTAGCTTAGAGTCTAGTCATGTTCAGGAGATCAGGTTAGATTAGTTCTCAGAATCTAGTCATGTTCAGGAGATCAGGTTAGATTAGTTCTCAGAATCTAGTCATGTTCTGGAGATCAGGTTAGCTTAGTTCTCAGAATCTAGTCATGTTCTGGAGATCAGGTTAGCTTAGAGTCTAGTCATGTTCAGGAGATCAGGTTAGATTTGTTCTCAGAATCTAGTCATGTTCTGGAGATCAGGTTAGATTAGAGTCTAGTCATGTTCAGTAGATCAGGTTAGATTTGTTCTCAGAATCTAGTCATGTTCTGGAGATCAGGTTAGATTAGTTCTCAGAATCTAGTCATGTTCAGGAGATCAGGTTAGCTTAGAGTAGTCATGTTCAGGAGATCAGGTTAGATTTGTTCTCAGAATCTAGTCATGTTCAGGAGATCAGGTTAGATTTGTTCTCAGAATCTAGTCATGTTCAGGAGTGGTTCTGTAAAATACGTACATTTCTTAAATTAGAAATTTGGACTTAAGGATACTTAGATCCTGCAAGACATATAAATTGAAGAGTGCAACAGTGAAGTCGTAGAGAATTAAATGCATATAATAAGTCATTAATAATAATAATAATTAAGGAAAAATCTGACTGCTCTACTTGGGTTGGAACAAACTTTAACAATATCGGACCTAGACAAGGCAAGAAACTATAATATCAAAATTTTAATATTTTTAGTTTTAATTAATAATATTTCTGGCCAAAACAGGATTTTGACCGAATTTTTCAACACATTTTGAAAAAAGGTGAACTATCCCTTTATTAACTTATTTTTTTTCTTTAGATCTACGTGAGTTGTAACTTTGACCAGGCTTGGAAACCTAGAAAACTTAGTCCTTGGTGTACACTCTTCTCTGATAAGGTAAACATAACCCAAGGAGTTAATATACCTTATTATTAGGGGGGTCCCCTAGGAAATTCCCCGTCACACCCCTTCCCTCATTTTTACTTTTACAATTTGCTTTTATGACATTTTAATAATTTTTGAAGATTTTTAGGAAATTTCTCATTAAAAAAAGTAATTATTTAAGGCTCTAGAAATAATGGAGTACAGAGAAGATTTAGAATATTACTGGATAGATGGACCAGGTAGGAAAACNTTCAGCTAAGTTTAGATGAAAGGAGGGAGGAACTTTTAAGGCTCTAGAAATAATGGAGTACAGAGAAGATTTAGAATATTACTGGATAGATGGACCAGGTAGGATAAACCTATAGAAAACTAACCCATAATATATACTCCGATAAGTAAGACCACGGTGGTAGAATATTTTCGAAAAATATACTAAAATTATTGTTAAAGGGCTCCTAGCTCCATTAACAATTAAATTCAATAAAATGAAAATTTGCATAATCATTAAATACATTAAAGTTTTAGAAAATTAGAGGATTTCAAATTTCTGAACATATGCATGCGATTGCGAGGTCAGCCGAAAATTGCCTCGAGGCCGGAACTTTAGGAGGCCATAACTCGGTAACCATAGGTCACAAAGTATGATATTTTGGATACAATGTTAATGAAAATCCATTATATTGACTTTCATGTGCTGGATTGTTATGATAAAGATTGCCCCCCCCTCCCCCCCCCCCCTCTTGCATCTTTAACATACTTTATGATCTGAGTTGTTTGTTTGAAATATCCAATGGAAGGATAAGAAATTAAAGAATGTGAAAATCAATCAGTTCCCCCGATTGTATTGATATGGCAAAAAAGTGTTTTGTAGAAAGTTTTGAAAGAAAGAAAGATTAATTTTAGGAAACGAAATTTCATCTTCGCCAGCCTGTGTTCTACTCAAAGATGTTCTAAACAACTTTCAGAATTCCACACTAGGTATATTATTCAAGGTCAAATTCATTATTTCATTTAAATGGACAGTCGTGGTAATTATACGTACAATTCACAACGATATCCTTAAAACCTTAACCGGAGTCTAAAACTAAAGAATGAAAAGTTACGACTTAAATATTAAGTTTCAGCTTAAATGCCACTTCTGACTTAATCTAAACCTGAATTTAAACCCGGAATTAGCCACATTAAAATTTGCTACAATTCAATGCATACAAATTATTTAATTGGACGATTTAGATTCTTTAAGTTAATAAATCTTTAACCATAATCAGAAATAAACAAATACATTGTTCAGGGGCGTACGAGAGCATTTGTTTTTTGGGGGAGCACATTTTGCGCGCGTCAGCGTTAAAAAAATTCTTTTTTCCCCCCTTGGCAACATTGTGCCCCCCCCCCCTCTTAAAAACCCCTTTTTTGAAAAAATATTAATACCTTTTTTAACTATGTAAACTATGCGATCATATACACACTTCCATATTACAAGTGTTAATAAATTATTTATGTAATTTCCTAAAGGACTCTTCAGACAATCCCTCTTAATACTGTGGTGTTAGGGATGAATTATAGAGATGGAAACGTTTCTAAAAAATGTCTATATTTTCTTAGGATCGATACGTATTGTTTTATAAATTTGATATAAAATATATATTTAAACTGAAGGCAGTATCGGTTAAAGCTTTTTTAATGAAACTTATTAAGTTTAGTTTTTTAATGTAGAAGGATTAATATTTAAGTCTTAAATCATTATTTTTCAGAACTTTTAAGCTATAACTTGAATTTAGCGCCAGTCTTAAGTTTTAGACTCTGATCAATAATGTGGAAGACGCTTTTTACTGGCTTTAATTCTTGTACTTCATTCATCGTTTCTGAAGCAGCGCAAGTCACTTTATGCAGTGGTACCACAAATGAAAATAAAATTCATTCTTTATCACACAAAGCTTTTAATTTGACTGTTGTGAAATGGACATCCTTCTCTATCAATGTAGGGTTACCCTCAAGTTGATAAAACACTTGGTTACCCTCAAGTTGATAAAACACTTAAGTTATTAGGTGTTCCTGAGGAACGAGGTATATTCTACTTTACACACTCTGGAACACTGTTAAAATTCCTGGCGTTCCTTGGAACTCACCAGGATACTCAGCATCTAACAAGTTTAAACTTTAATACTTTAAAAAACAGGGATACAGTAATGTTATTTTATTATTAGTTTTCCTTGGTTTCTTGTATGGGTGTACAAAGTTCTTTATGTTTCGCTGGGTTGGTAAAATATTAATGAATTTTTTGAATTAATGAATGTTTTGGGTTAAGTATAAAATTAATTAAAAAACTTGCCTTTTGATGTTCAGATTTTCATATTTCAAATCAAAAACAATTATTTCCCACTTATCCTTTCTTAAAAAAATACACCCCTGGTTACTATACTGTCAGACAAGGAGTATGCATTGGAATAAAAGGGAGAAGGTATAGAACCGGCCCGCCCTACCCTATGATTATACAATATACATGCTTTTGCAGATGGTACTTCATTTGAATAAGAAATATTTGCCTGAATTGCAAATACAGCGTACATGTATTCAGAATAGGTTATTCTGTACATTAAACAGGGGAAAAAATAGGCTGTTTAACGTCAAACGAAAAAAAAATTTTGATGCAAAAGTTTTTGTAACACAAACGTATTTTTTATATTGTAAAAATCGGTTTTATTTAATATGGTACAGACAGTTAAAAACCACTTTTAAAAAACCTTTAAAATCTATTTTTCAAATGGAGTATCGTCTGAAAAGCATGTTTATTCATAGGGTAGGGCGGGCTGGGTCGATTCCTTCTCCCTTATATTCCATACTAGAGACAGTTATAAAACATCTTTAATCTTTTAAACAAATTTTTAGTATTTTTTGTTTTGTTTGATGAAACATTTAGTTTTTGTCTTTTTAAATAATTGATAAATCAAATGTATATTATGAAAATTACTTGATGGTGATAAAATATCAAAAATAGCAATAAAAAAATAACAAAAAGATTAATTGATCTGCCTGGAAAAATTTATATATCTGATATATATATAAAAATCACTTGCTTGTATCAGAAAATGGAGAACCAGTAGAATTGGAGCTTTTGCCTCTAATATTTCGTTAGTACTCCGGCAGTGTAATGGATGGTTCTCAGTCTGTGTTTACGTGAATGAAAAAATAGGTAACAAAAAACTTTTTTTCTTTTTGGATTTCTAATTATAACTTGATAAAATAGCAATTATGTTTTTTAGAATTTTTAGCCGCAGATATGTGTTAATTAATCAATTTGTCTAAAAACAAGCTGTAAGACAATAGCTCATTCTTGATTTATTAATTTCATCTGGAGTTTGATATATGGGTTGTAGGACATCCCTAAACTCTGATTGATTGATTTACGTTATCTGCAAAGACCTAGGGGGAAGACTTACTAAACCTTAATATCATTACTTTGTTGTTAGAGCGTATACCTGGCTGTTCTGAGACCTGCTGCTCCTTGGAGAAGTTTATTAAGCTGTTCAAGACTAGACTGGACAAGTGTGATCTAGACGAGATCTGTGAAAACAAGATAGGAGAAGATGATAATATGTCTGCACCAGATGATAGATTTTAAGTTATATGTATTCTTGAAATTTTACATTATTTTGTGCAGGAAGGCAATGATCAGTTAAATTCGTGATCAGCTGGCTACTTGATCAGCTGACTTTGTTATCAGCTGACTTCATGCGACATTTTCCTAGCTGAAGAATTCCTGGTAGCCCAATTGCGGACGTTTGATCTAATAATAAATTTATTAAGAAATGTTATCAAAAATATTTGATGATATTAAAATATATTTTCTGACATTATTTCAGAATTACTATGCGGACTATTCAGCTAAGTTTAGATGAAAGGAGGGAGGAACTTAAGAAATACAGAGAAGAGAATAGCAGGTATTTATGAAACATTATTTAATACAGAGAAGAGAATAGCAGGTATTTATAAAACATTATTTGCATTTTCTTGTGGAAATATACTAGTTTTTCTAAAACAATTACACTGGAGGTAATGAATACTTTATTTCCCATCTCTTGATACTACTGTAACTTTTAATTTCATCTGAATTTTCTAAAAACTAAGAAACCGGATGTTTACCGGAATTTTATTACTATTTCTTTAGCGATTCAAAAGTCAAATAATATATTTTAAAACTTACTTTTAAGATTTTTTTGGTTGATTTTGAAACAGCACTTTTATTGCTAGGAGAAGTGATGAGATTATTGAGCATTGGGAGAACGGTGTTAGGGATAACATTGATAGTATTGGAGATGAACAGTGGATGGTTTTAGAACAGGTAAATCAGGTCAGGTCGGGGTGGGGTCAGGGTTAGGCCAGGTCAGTTTGGGTCGGGATATGTCGGGTTGGGTTAGGTCAGGGCTCAGGTTAGGCTTCTCTTAAAAGTCAAGTTCAGGGGTTAAAGTTCGTTAAACTTGCATAATCTAACGGTTAGATCATATAAAGATGTATGAAAGGGACTGTAAGCGTGATTTCAAGTGACCCTTAAAAGCTTTGTCTTTTCATGAATTAGGTACCATTGTTTATAATTTTAAAAACTGATGTTTTCCATCGTGGTTTCTTACTAAAGTGACGTATGATTTCTACTGCATGCCAGCATTGGGAAATATTGATCAAAAAAATATTTTGAGGGTACCATTGAGAATCGGGCATTGCCATCTTTGCATGGATAGTCATTAGAAATTACGATAACAGCCCCTTTAATAAACATGTAAATTTTCTCTAAGGTTTGTGTTGCTGCTATGGATAACTACAGACCTGATATTGTTGATCAAACCCTAGTCCGTCTTCTCGACAAATTCGGAGTTGACAGTCTTAGAGTTAGAAGGTGAGCAATGAGCATTGTTAAACCATTTCACGAATAGTGAGGATTTACAAATCACACGAAAATTGGGGTTTCACAGGACAAATAAATAGTTTGAAGAAAGGGAGAAAAGAAGAAAATCTTAACAACAAATATTTTATATAAAAGCATAGGGCAGAGTGATAATTTTCTCTCCATTCAGATTAAATCCACAATCATTCTTACTCTGTTGAAATTCAATGAATGGATTGAAAACCATCAGAAATATGATGGGGTGGAGCGGGTCACCTTGGAAAACTTCTCAAAAAATATTTTAAACTTTATTCAAAGTTTAAACTTATTGTTTCGTTCAGGTTATTTGCTATGCAGCATGAAATGCGGGAGGAGTGGACTGAGGCTTTAGAGATTCTGAACACCATCATTGAGGTATATAAACTCTACAAAATACACTAATTCTAAAATATTTTCAAATTTGTTTTCCTACAAGTAGTTCATTGCTCTGCAGCCTGCATTGAGTAATTACTAATGAAACAAATTACATTCTCTTTAATTCATTAACTAATAATTTAACTGATCAATTGATCCTTTAATAAGAATAATTTGTACTATGATGATCTTGTAAGAGCAATTAAAGGAACTGTAAGCGTAATTTAAACTGACCCTCCATGCAAAGTGGGTAATTCCCAATTCACAATGATACCCTTGAATTATTGGCTGTTCATCGAGTAGAGAGATCTTTCTGTTTAAACATATCGAAACCCGTGTGAATTTCTCTAAAAAGCGACTGTACGCTTTGTACAGTCTGAACTCGAACTTACTTGCGCTGTGTACCTCTAAAGCAAGTCAACCTTTAAAAGTAAATTTTTACTTTCCATCATTTTTAGAAAGAAACTCTTGATATTTCTTATATATATAACAACTCACAACCAAAGTGTTTAGCAGTTAAAAGAGTTTTTGTAGATATACAGGGTTACTCACAAAGAAGGAGATTGTAAAGACGACTTGAAACTCTTTAAATATGACTATCCCAAGCCTAAATTAAGTCTTCTGTCTTAAATGTAGTCCTTCAATGGTTTTTTTTTAATGATTTGACTACAAAAGAAAGAAGTTTAGAGATGTAGTGAATCTTGAATATAAGGAAACCGACCGTATAAATTCCGAACAGTCGTTTCTGAATTGTCATCTCCTGTGGGTAACCCTGTACTAATGAATGTACTACTCACAATTGTTCCATTCCAAGTGTTTATATTTATCATTAGTGTTTTAGTTTCTCTATACAAACTATAATTGATTTTTCGTTCATTGATTTCTTTCTCTTACGTGATCAAATATCTAGAATTTGGAAACATTTGAACAAAGGAAAGCTTGATTCCAAAGCCCTCGACATGTTGAATCACACCAGAGCCCGCTATTTAAAAAATTCGGGGAAATACGGCTCGGGTCTAAGCTGTCGTTGGACCTTATTTACGGCATGAGCTTTCGGATTAAAGCTGCATCTTATTTTCCACAGAGTTGAATTCAAAAAACCGGTTTAATATTCTATTTGGCGGATTTTCATAGTAGGAATTGGCGCATTCCCAGTTTTTATGAGAACAAGACGAATTATTGAGTCTTATTCTCCACTAAAACCAACCAAGGTCGGTTTTATTTTCATTGGGCCTAACTCCTTAAGTCAAGCCGAAGATCTTGCAGCTGTCAATCACGTGTTATTATTATTATCACTTGTGTTATTATCAACTGTTACACTAATTTCCGTCTTTTGTCGGTAAGTTCTGAGGGGGGCTCGGCCTTAATTTCTAGGAAATGACAGTTGATCATTTATTTATTAATTTATTTATTTAAAAACGGGATATAAGTTGAATTAAGTAGGCTGGCTAAACTGTTATTAGATAGTTTAGAAATCTAGTTGGTTATAACAAAACTTTAATGATTCCCTTATTAATGATTAAGATATTTTTTAACTCTGTTTGGTTGATGTCTGAAGATTGGTAGGCTGGGACAATTTCGGTTGTCCGATGTAATTGCAAAAAGAAAATGCTCTATTTCTCTAAGTCAAAAATTCCAACTTAAACCCAAACTTAAGATTCAATTTAGTATAGTCATCTTGGATCTTGAGTATGGACTTCCCTAAAACTCTGATTTGATTTGAAAACCAAACTATTCCCTGATTGGTCGGATCTTTATGAAAAATGTAATTAACGTTTGTATTGTTATTGTTTTTTAGGGTGACGAGTCGAATAGTTCTGCAAGGAAGAGGAAGGTAGCGATCTATCGAGCCCAGGGAGACAACAGCAAGGCAATCACAGAGCTGACAAAGTATTTGAAGATCTTCATGTCAGACCAGGAGGCCTGGCAGGAACTCATGGATCTTTATATTTCGGTCAGTTTTATACACTTTGTCGTATTTTAGTTGTAAATATTTTCAAACATAATTAATTTTTCTAATTGATTTATTGAGTTCTTTGAGTTTATTTGTCATCATTTTTATTTTTTGCTTCTCATATTAAAGGAAAGATTTATTACTTAAAANGTGTCCCACGAAACATGACAGTTGGTAAATCTTTTAGAATGTCTTCTTCCATAATTTATTAAGCTGTTATAACACCAAAGACAATAATAAAAATATTATATAGGAGTCATTTTATAGTAAAATTCTTTTCAAAGTAAAATATATTTGAGCAAAAGATTTTCTAATAGAAATAAACTGCATAAAGCCTTTAATAGCTAATATAGTGTATGGAATACGACATTAAAAACTATTCACCAACTGTCATGTTTCGTGGGACACCCTGTATTTGATTTTTTCCAATAAAATTTAGTGAAAATACACTTTCTAAATGTTTTGTCATTGGCCTATAGTCCTTGGCATGTTGATTTATGGCTTATGTCATTAATCAACTGTTACATTAATTTCCGTCCTTTGGCGGTTATTTATTAAGGGGACTCGGACTTGATTTCCACGGAATGATGGTTTATCTTTTATTCATTTAATAGTTATTTGTTGTTGAAAAATTATTTGAATTACTTTTAAAGGAGCAAGATTACCACAAAGCTTCGTTCTGTTGTGAAGAACTTCTTCTGCACAATCCTCACAATCATCTTTACCATACTCGTAATGGGGATATTAGATACACCATCGGAGGGTAAGAATCTAATATTTACCATACTCGTAATGGGGATATCAGATATACTATCGGAGGGTAAGAAGATTTTACCTTAATTTTGGACTTAAATTGCCAAAAATGCAAAAAAGATAAAACAAAAACTATTGCAGACAACTTGTCATTATTAATTACCTGAATACCGAAAATTTATTGTGATTCCCCCTGAAATTTAAAAATTATTGTGATTTCCCCCTGAAATTTAAAAACTAAAGCGGCATTATTTAAGGTTTGAGCAGCTAGAGATAGCTAAACAGTTCTACTCCCAGGCTGTTAAGATGGCGCCGTCAAGCATGCGCGCACTCTACGGACTTATTCTTACTTCCGGTCAGTTAGCTGCCAATCCAAAATGCCCGCAGGTAATTCAAATATTAAAAATTTAAAAAATTTGTTAAATACAACTTTATTTAATTTGATGTTAAATCGAATTAAATCCTCGAATTTTTATAAATGAAAGATCATCTTTGTTGATACGTTCATTTTCTGTTTCTCTTTTTAACATAATTCAATCATTTTAAATTCTTTAAGGGAAATAAATTGACATTTTTTGTGCATTTTAGCTTTATTAAATTTGTCGGATTTATAATCCCACATAAAACGGAAATGAACATTTTCGACAAACCCTAATTTTATAATACCTATATCTTTGCAAGCTGATGGTCTAAACCTTTGATGTTAGAAACAGTTTTTTCTAGCAGATTTAATCAACATCAACAACAGGTTGCAAAGATATAAAGATAAGAAAATTATTGTGAAGTTTCTTTGAATACAATTGGTAAGATAGATTGCTGTTATTCTTCTATTTTATTTACAGACCTCATAACTTAACTATTTTCTCCCCTATTTTTTCAAAATAAATTTCAATTAAAACTAAAAAGAATTATGATAAAAAACTAAATGCATTTGTTAGGTGAAATGCAAGTAAGTTCTCGAAAACTTTATAATAAGAGAAATTGTGGATAGTTTTTTTATTTTTATGCAAAATCTAATTACAGACCTTAACAATTCTTAGATCAATACTTTTAAATGTCAGAGGTTTATTCCATCAGGTTGCAGAAACACAGGGTTTAGAAAATTTTAATTTTGGAAAAGGTTTAATTGAATCATGGTTGAACCACTTTGCTAGTCTCATTTTATTCTATCAAAATAATTTATGAAAATTGAATAAAACGGTTAATAAGAATATTTTTTTTTCAGCCGAAAAGAAAAGAGCATGCTAAAGTTGCTTTCTGGACTAGTAAACAGATATCTGCAAGGTTAGAAATTATTTGATTTTTCAGATAGTTGATAATTTTCTTTTGCAAAAAGGATACATTCAATGCATTTCTAGCCCTTGTTTTAATGACTAGAGAAAATTTGCCTAATCTGTATTTTCTCTAGTTTTGTTCTGCGTTCCTTTAAGTTTTAAATCTTGGATATAAGAACTGCTTATGTTATGGTTTTTGCTCCCGTCAAGTAAATAACTACATTCTCTGTATTTAAAAATGATTTGATTTGCTACTAAATATTCTTATAAAATGTTAAAACTAAAACTTTTCCCTCTTCAATTATTTTAGGAACTTTTGGGGGTTGTACTTTATGATGTTAGATATAAATAAATAAATAAATGAAAAAGATCGTGGAAGACCCCCAATGTGGGATCCCCAGACCGACTCCGGGAAGGGTCTCAGTCAGGTGCTGATTTCCCTGCCGATTCAATCTGGGTCCCTAATCTCATTCCCCCTACTCTGAGGGAAATCAATTAAGGCAGTTACATACCAGACGCCCTCTAGCCATTCATCCTGATGGCGAAAGTGTACCCTGCAATCAAAAGTGAGGCGAGAAGCAGCAGCTACCTGGATTTTTTAGTGATGTTGTAATGAATTGCCAACGCTGGAGGATGTTGTGGATGTGCTTGGCTCGTATTAACATATCTGGTACTCCCGCATTGTCCCCCCCTAGATATGCTTTAGTTCTTTTTTTTGCACCATGTTTGTTCATTCTTAATCTTTGCAACAGCCAAGGAGTTCACCCTCGATACTAAAAGCAATAATCAATAAAGTAAAAATATACATTGTAGGAATCTAGTATTGTCTTCCACAGAAAGAGGAAATGCGGGAATTAATGAGAAAATTTAAATCTGCAATCCAGTATTTAAGAGTTCTTAACCATGAATACAGTGTAGATGTGCTCCATATTTAATAAAACATTTATAATTTTGGTATATTTAATGATTTGAAAATTCTATTTTTTAAAATCTTACTTTTTATTGTATTAGGTACGGTAATGTAGGAAGTAACCGACACCGTGGTCTAGCCCTGAAACAGGACCGCGAGTTGCCGCTGGTCATTGAAAATATGCTCAGCCAGCTGGAGATAGCGAAGGCGGTTATGTAACTCAGCCGATCAATCAATAAATAACTTTTTTTTTAAATTGTGCCCCCTTGATTCCAGGACATAGATTTTCAATTATTTAAATTTTTTCCCTTTGCCAACAGTCTGACCTTTCTTAGCAAAACAAGCTAAATTTTTTCCTTTGTCTTGTATAGTCTGTTTGTATTAATATAGCAGATGTTAATATTTATTTTCGCATTTGGATAAGCTCATTTGCATATTCACAACATTTTTGGGATATTGTGATCGTATGGTTTGTTTGTTTTGTATGTTTTGTTAAAATTTAATTTGGGTATTTATTTAATAAAAGTTTAGCTAATATTTTTAAACCCTGTTATATGCATGTAAATTGTAAACTCTAGTTTAAACCTTATTTCAGATGAAGAATTGACATAAAATGGTGCGAGAATTCATCGAGGGCTGGGACCTTATACAGGTACTGTTTTATATCATGGCCGAAGATTACCTTTTTCCTTGACTTTCAGATGTCCCGAAAGTCTATTTTGATTCGATTTGAGGAAAAGACTAATTAAAAACTCCAAAAATATTTTGTCCGCTATTTCATGCAATTTTTTTAATGGGGAAAAGATTTTTAATTTAAGAAATTACTTCAGCGAAATTTTCTGCACCAGGCAAAAATTATACATTAAAAACCAAACAAAAAGAACTCATACAGTAATTAACGATTTTAAAAAACAAAGATTGTCAGGCGAGGCTGATTTTTCCATTTGTTCCTTTTCTAATTGCGAAAATTGTTTGATTTAAGGCTAAAGATTTTTTTTTTGATACAAATATCTTTCCTAAAACCGGTTTTGAAATGTTCTCCAATTTTTGTTGAAATTGTATCCAAGAAACTTTATAAATGGGAAAAGAAACGTGCCTCTTAATGGCATATCTATATATATATATAAAGTTGTAATCTCTGTTGGCATGTTTGTTTGTCCGATTATAACTCAGGAATCCCTCGGGAGAACCACGGGAATGTTCTTAGCTTGGTTTTGAGATTTTTAAGTTGAGTGGGCCGATTAAAGGAAAAATTTAGTTTCCCTAGTAAAATAGACCAAATGCGGGTAAACGGCGTGAGTAAATATGAGTAACCATTATATAATTAATGATTGTGTGATGTTTAAGAATAAATTATACACATATTTATATATAGAGACTATTGATCTATTAAGTCAAATTTAAAATGATATGAAAAAAGTAAAGGTTTTCTTTTCGAATTAAATAAATGATTATTCTCTAGGTTCTCGGCGAGGGTATGTTTGGTGAGGTTAAACTCCTGGTAAACAAGGAGAATGGTGAAGCATGTGCTATGAAGGAAATAGATCTAGACTCTCATCCAGAGGCAGAGGAGGTAAAGGACAGACCCCTTCCCCATTCCACTCCTTCCTTTCACATCCACTCCATTCTCCCCCCTAGGGTTTTATATTTACAATAAAACTGGGAGAGAGGGGGGGGGGCGGGTACATTTAAAATATAATTATTGTTTTTAATATTTATTTTGCGATAGAAGACTGAAATAGAAAAATAGTTTTCTATGGAGGGTATGTATCTTTTCTTCCTGTGGTAGAAAATATTTACAATTTAAATCTAAAGCATTTTCCAATCAAAACTCTTTCATCGTCCAATGTCACTAAAATAAAGATTTGAATAACTGTGTGGCTCAGAATTGAGCCTGACTCTGGTATGCCTGAGCATGTGGCTCAACGATATTTCAACTCCCTTATCTGTGGTATTGAGTACCTGCACAAGAAAGGAGTCAGCCATAGAGATATAAAGCCTGAAAACCTTCTCCTAGATGATCATGATACTCTTAAAATATCAGACTTTGGCATGGCTACCGTTTTCAGGCATCAGGTAGCTCTTGGTTGGGTCTAGCAAATTATAATTAATTGTTCAACCTTCAGAGATAATATAGTTATAGTTATAGTATTTATTTTCAAACACAAAATACAAAATAATAATGTATGATGGTTCAGCTTAAAATAAAACACAACAGAAAATTTATCATGAGCCAATTAAAAAATATAATGTTTGATAATTTTGTTTGATCGTTTTTGTTGAGCATGTTTAAAAAGT